TTCTTGTTTCTGCTGTCTTCTCTCTAGTGGATGAGGCTATCTAAGAGGCTTGTGCCAGCTTCCTGATGGGAGGGACTGGTGGTGGGTAGAGCTGGGTGTTGCTTTGGTGGGCAGAGCTCAGTAAAACTTTAATCCCCTTGTCTGCTGATGGGTGGGGCTGAGTTCCCTCCCTGTTGGTTGTTTGGCCTGGGGCAACCCAGCACTGGAGGCTACAGGCTCTTTGGTGGGACTAATGGTGGACTACAGGAGGGCTCATGCCAAGGAGTACTTCCCAGAGCTTCTGCTGTCAGTGTCCTTGTCCCTGTGGTGAGCCACAGACACCCCCCGCCTCTGCGGGAGACCCTCCAACACTCTAGCTGGTAGGTCTGGTTCAGTCTCCTATGGGATCACTGCTCCTTCCCCTTGGGTCCTGATGTGCACCCTACTTTGAGTGTGCCCTCCAAGAGTGAAGTCTCTGTTTCCCCCTGTCCTGTTGAAGTCCTGCAATCAAATCCTGCTAGCCTACAAAGTCTGAATCTCTGGAAATTCCTCCTCCCATTGCTGGACCCCAGGGGCTCAGAACCTTCAATCCAGTGTGTGGACTTCTGTGGTATAATTGTTCTCCAGTTTGTGAGTCACCCACCAGCAATTATGGGATTTGATTTTATTGTGATTGCACCCCTCCTACCATTTCATTGAGGATTCTCCTGTGTCTTTGGAGGTGGGGTATCTTTTTTGGTGAGTTCCAGGGTCTTCCTGTTGATGATTGTTCAGCGGTTAGCTGTGATTCTGGTGCTCTTGCAAGAGGGAGTGAGAGCACATCCTTCTACTCCGCCATCTTGAACCAATTTCAATTTTACCAATATTGTTCAAACATCAATACTCACTACTCCTGGCCATTTAGAAGAAACTTTTCCCTTGGAGCTCATTAACAATGAAAAATTTATTCCATGCTATCCAAATATGAGATTGCCTCATATATATGTTAATATATGTGGCCTTCTGCCTATGAAAGGGAAGCAGGACTGCAGGGCTTGAGTGACTATTTCATGTCTTTTGAGAACATAAATCTACCCAATTTAATCTTCTAACCAACCTGCATATAAATAATAGCTACCATTTATTGAGTGCTTACTATGTGCCAAGTAATGTGCAAGTGCTTTACAAGAAATATATCTCAGCGAATTGCAGGACAGTCCCAAAAGATGGCATTTATAATTTTGAATTTACAGATGAGGAAACTCAAGCTCAGAAGAGTTAAGTAATCTGCCCTGTGATCATTGAACCAGTAAAGACCAGATTTGAACCCAGGTCTGCACGACCCCAGCAACCATGTTCTTTCCACTGTCTTATGTTGCTTCCCAAGTGTACTTTATGCAGAGAACTATAGTAATATAAAGAGATATTCACTGAAATACTACTATGTGCCTACTATGTGTCTTTGGGCTAAATAATCTGTGCTGTTTTCTAATCTTTAGAATAAGGATAATAAAGATTCCCACCTCATAGGACCAAAGTAGTTAATACATGTAAAATGCTTAGGATAGTACAGAGAACATAATAAGTGAATTGATATGAGTTCTAGGAACTGGGAATACATCAGTGAGCAAAACAGAAGTCTTTGTCTTCATAAGGCTTCATTCTGGTGAAAGGGAAAGAATAAGTAAATAAATAAACAAATAATATATATTAACTATATATATATATATATATATATATACATATGGCATTATATCTGATATACATATATCAGATATAATGCCATAGTATTGCAGGATGTAATAAGAACCATGAAGAAAAACAAAGCAAAAATGAAAGATAAAGAATGCTAGGTTGGGGCACTATTTTAAATAGGGCTATCATGGAAGGCCTCACTGAGGTAACCTTTGAGCAAAGACATGAAAAGGATGCAGTAGTGAGCCATGCAGATATTTAATGGAAAAGCGGAGGGAAAAGCAAGAGCAAAAGTCCAGCTTGCCCAGACTTTTCAAGGAACAACAAGGAGGTCTAAGGAACTGGAGGAGAGTGACCAAGGTGGGCAGTAGAAGATGAAGTCCTGGTGGGTGGGGAAATGGGGAGATTGTGCAGGATCTTGTAGGTCATTGTAAGAACTTTGACTTTCACTCCGAAGCTACTGGAGGGTTCTGAGCAAAGAGTAACATGATATGGCTCATGTTTTAAAAAAGGATCCCTCTGGCAGCTGTGTTAATAATACACTGTAGGGAGATAAGCAGTCATTCAGGAGAGACAAGATAACGGCAATAATCAAGGAAAGGGTAGCAATGGAGATGGGGAGAAGTGGTCAGATTCTGGAAATACTTTAGAGGTAGAATCCATAAGACTTCTTGAGAGATTGGATGTAGAATATGAGAGAAAGAGAGAGGTCAAGGACCGGCCTGAGCAGCTGAGAAGGTAGAGATACCATTAACTCAAATGGAGAAAACTCAGGGAGAAGCCATGTTTAGAAATCTTTCATGCATTATTTTAAATCCTTTCAGCCTCACCTCTTATTCCAGGTGTTGCTGCAGTGACCAATTCTGTGCAGGCCTCAACCTCAAGATCGTCTCCCAAGAACAATATTCCAGCACCTTGCCTCTCTCACTCCCTGCTTCTCGCGTGGGATACTGCAGAAACCAGCCCACAGTGCACATGCGCAATTAGAAGCATGTGGTGCAAGCTTAACCAATGGCAGACAGGAGCCGATAGATAAGTGCGTCCTTCTTCACTTCAGTACAGAATTCTGAGACCCATTTCGCTAAGTCTTCTCAGAAGGTTCCACAGTATCAATCAACAAATCGCCCACTGCCTTTGTCAACTCAATAATGCATCCTTGTATTGGTTTTTCCGCTTTCTCTATTTTGTTTCCCCTGGGCCCCTTAGTCTATTCCCTGAACTCATTTTCTCAAATAAACTACTAGCACCTAAGCCTTTGTTTGGGGCTCTGCTTTAAGGGGAACACTGGGCATCAAAATTGACTCCAGAGACCCTACTGTATAGCACAGGGAACTCTACTCAGTGTTCTGTGGTGACCTAAATGGGAAGGAAATCCAAAAACGAGGGGATATATGTATACATATAGCTGATTCACTTTGCTGTACAGCAGAAACTAACACAACGTTGTAAAGCAACTATAATCCAATTTAAAAAAAAGGTGACTCCAGATTGTAAAGCCTCAGTATGGGATTTTGGAGGCTGATCCTACAGCACTGATCACAAGACAATAAGGACCCCTGCTGGTGGTTAAGTAGTTGGTGGTAAATTGCAAGTGGTGACAACCCCTGGCATACAGTAGGATTGCTAATTACCAAGACTCTCTACTGTTATAGATTAGAATGAGGTGCAGACAGAAGATGAAACATTGAATTACATGTGGCTATGGTACTTGAGCGTTATGGAGCAATGATAGTCATAAAGTGGGCTGACATCTGTTAACTGCTTTGGAGATCTTAACAAAAGAAAATGACAGGCTCTATTCAGCCAACAATCAAATCATGGCACACTGTGAAAGCCAGAAGCCTCTAGGGCAGAGTAGCCACTGAGCCGACTGTGCTAAAAATCAGCTCCGACATATAATCAAAAGGGTGGCAGAGCGGCAAAAGTGTCTAAATGCACAGCCTTAAAATATTACCCATGTCAAACCTAGGGCTCTGATAGGAAAATAATGAAACCTTGAGATCTAGAATGGGGACATTTGTGTGCACATGTCTTATAATCTTAAACCCCCAGATTTTTTGTCATCCTCTGTGCCAACAGACTCCTTTCTCTTGATAAAGGAAAGCAGCCTCTTCTTGTCTGGAACTACTTCAAAGAATATATCTGAGGCAAGAGCCTAATTTATTACCTTAATTTTCCCAATATCTTCCCCCAGCGACCACTGCCTCAAGCCTGTAAACAGGGTCAGAGCTCAGCAAACCTATGTGGGGATTGCAATCCCTGCTCCAGGGAGAACCAGACCAGAGTTCCTCAACCTCGGCACTAGTGACATTTGGGGCTGGATAATTCTTTACTGTGGGAGCTGTCCTGTGTATTGCAGGCTGTTCAGCAGCATCCCTGCCCTCTACTCACTAGATGTTAGTAGAACCTCCTTGGTAATGACAACCAAAAATGTCTCCAGACATTACCAAACGTCCCCTGGGAGTCAAAATCATCCCAGGTGAAAACCACTGAACTACAGATGAACTCAAAAAGAATTGCAAAACTGTCTAATAGAAACCAGGGGGTTATTTGTAAGAGTGAATATTTAGAGCACTAAACCAGAGACTGCTGGACACTAAACTGGACTGCTGTTGCACATAGCCCCACTCAGGGGTGGCTTTAAAGAACAAAGGTGAAGTGAAATCTTGCCAGTTGGTAGAGCTGGGAGCAGTATTCTTTATTATTAGCTTTGTTTATAGAGAGAAGTGGCCCGAAGTACAAATATTTACAGACTCCTAGGTTTGTCTTTCCTGCCTGAAGTGACTCTGCCAACATCCATAACACCAGAATTATACTATCCTGATCAATGCTACTTTAACAAAGGAATCCACTTTGCAGCCTCCTCCTAAAAAAAAAGGTGACAATATACACATGACCAGAGACTCCACTGATATTGCCATATCCCTCATCACTCAGAAGTAGCCAGCTTCTGATGCGGTAAATGCTTAAAATCAAACAATAAAGAGTGTCCCCAACAGCTAAAGACATAGCTCTGGAAACCCCAGAACGGGAGCAGGATTGGCCCATTTTATCATCACTTCCAGTGACGCACTCACAGAATTTGTGTTTCCTGCCTCCCAAATTTAGGCTTTGCTAGATTACAATAATTAGCTCTCCACGAGTTGGGTGGAGGATGCTTCACTGAACTTGAAACTCCCTCACTATCATTTGGTTACTTGGTTTCTCATGGCAGTAGTCACGTAGCAACGGAAAGAGTTACTACAGTAGCGGAAGTACTCAACTGTGACTGGCAAAAAATCTGGGATTGTTGCTATACAATAGCAGTAGGGAGGAATAAATCTGGAAGGAATTCAACTGAGGCTTACCTTGGTGTTTCTGTACCCCGGGATAAGTTGAACAGGCAATTACACAATCATGGCCCAACCAGAGCAGGGTAAACAAAGGCTGAAGGTTCCAGTTACCTCGCTGAGGAAACAACCTAGATCAGCTGATGTGCAGGTGAAGGGAGGTTAGGATGGATAGTAGAGGAGGGAGTTAATGAAAACAAGCACGGTCTTGGCATCAGTGTAGCAGCAGGGACTGAAGCTTATTCCACAAACTCTCTTATATTAAGTCTTCGCAGAGATAGTAGGTGGCCATCACCTTGAAGGGGACTCCGTAAAAGACCAGACGTAACAAAAGGCCAAGCAGATGTGAGTGGTACGAAGAGTGGACTGAAATGGACAGCATCTGTGTATCTTCTGTCACCACCTCAAATCCTTTCAGCCACTTATTCCAACCACTGCTGCAGCAAACTTTTCTGAAGAGAGTTTGATGAACTTTGGGCAAGTATGACATGACTGCACCTCTCTTCTTCCTCAGGACTTCTCTGATGTGGAAGTCAGCTTGGCATTCACAACTGTGCATTTGGGAAGTGTGGAGTAGTTAATGGCCAGGGGCATTAACCTTTGATCAAAGGGAGACAGGAGCTGACAGATAAATGTCTCTTCCATTCTGGCTTTCAGTGGACAGTTTTGCAAATCATCTCACAAAGCTTCCCAGAAAGTCCTAAGGGATCAAGAAAACATTCAGATATGGTGACCACAAACTCAATAATACATCCTTATACTGCCTCTCCCTCTTCCTTGTTTTACTTCCCCTCCCTCTTCTCTCACTCTTGCTCCCTGCTATCAAAGCCCCAAATACAATACTGCACATAAGCCTTTGTTTCAGCCTCTACTTTGAGGGGAATCCAAAGGGAGGGAAGAAAGGAGAATTTAATTTTTAGAATTTTTTTTTTTTTTTTTTTTTTTTTTTTTTTGCGGTACGCGGGCCTCTCACTGCTGTGGCCTCTCCCGTTGCGGAGCACAGGCTCCGGACGCGCAGGCTCAGCGGCCATGGCTCACGGGCCCAGCCGCTCCGCGGCACGCGGGATCCTCCCAGACCAGGGCGCGAACCCGCGTCCCCTGCATCGGCAGGCGGACTCCTAACCACTGCGCCACCAGGGAAGCCCAGAAATTTTTAAAATTTAGTTTGAGATGCCTAATGGACATCCGAGTGGAAATGTTGGGGAGGCAGTGGATACACAAATCTGGAGTTCACGTTGTAAAGCAACTATACTGCAGTAAATATTAATTTAAAAAACCAAAAACCTAGAGAACAACAACAACAAATCTAGAGTTCAGGGAAGAAGTTCAGGCTTCTGAAAAGCAATTCACTTCCTAACTTTGAAGAGGGCTGTAAACATACAGGTTTAAAAAAAAGGAAGAAAAGAAAAGAGAAAGGAAAAAAAAAAAGGACAAAATAGCACATGCAACTGTCATATAAAGAGTGTCCACAGTAAGCATTCTGGAACTGAGCAGGAAGGACCCAAGAGGTCTTTCTAAAGATCAGATCAGATCCTGCTCTTAAAAGGGAAGTCATTCAATGAAACTGAAAAGCATTTCAAGTAGCATTGACTAGAGCATATTAATCTCAGTAGCAAACAGGTCCCTACTATGTCTGCTGATTTTTCCACCAAATTATATCTTCAGCTAAACACTGAAAGATACTTTGTACAGCTCATTTGTCCCTTTCTCAGTGAAACCATCTTGACAGAGTGAGTTACACCCTCTTTTGCATTCCTATGGCGCTACATCTCTTTTTTTCTACTTTTGTTGTTTACTTTACCACACTAGACCGTAATTTATCCCTCTATTTAATTCTGTCTCTCCAATGACGGTGTGTCCCCTTCTTAGTGGGATCCCTGTCTTTGTATCTCCAGCACCTAATACAGTGTCCAGCATTGAGGTGGCTCTGTTTTCAAATGAACGAATGCTTGCATTGAATGGGTCCCTACAGAACCCATGCAAAGGATGGTGTTGAGCTAGAGCAAAGAAGTCGCTCCTCTGAATTACCAGCACATTTATCGGACCTGTATCTCTCCTTGGTCATTTATTTTGTCTTATTTTATATGTATTTTTATGTATACCTTGTTTGGCCCTACCATACCAGGAACGTCTTCAGGTTGAGATTCATGTCTGAATCACCTCTGCACCTCGATCAAAGTGCCTGGCATAAAACAGGTGCCAAACATATGGAATAAATAAATCACTTGCCTTGCAACCAGCAACACTGGCATCGCCTGTGCTTCTCAAACTTAAACGTGCACAGGCGTCATCTCGTTAAGGTGTAGATTACCATTCAGTAGATCTGAAGTAAGCCTGAGAGGCTGCATTTTCTAAAGAACCCCCAGATGATGCCCAAGCAGCTGGTCCACAGACCACATTTTAAAATACCAACGTCACTGTATCAATGGTTCTCCACCATAGCTGCATATTAGAATTTTCCCCAAAGATGTGAAAAGTGCTGGTGGGAACTTCCCTGGTGGTCCAGTGGTTAGGACTCCCCCCTTCCATTGCAGGGGGTGCGAGTGCGATTGCTGGTGGGGGAACTAATATCACGCGTGCTGCGGGCCTAAAAAAGTAAAAAAAAAAATTTTTAAAGTGCTGGTGTCTTGGTCCCCAGCGTCCCCCCCCAAATTCTGATTTAACTCATTTAAGCTCTCCATGCCATAAGCAGCAAGTATCTAGAGTTAACAAAGCTTTATGTGTGCAAGAAAGAAAACATGTAATCGCATATCTTCTTAAATGAACTGCTGAAAACAGCTGAATAAATAATTCCTCAAGAGAAACTAACACGCAGTACCAAATGCCCCAGCTCCCGAGTCAGTCTCCGAGCGACGGGATCCCGCCCCAGCCTGTCTTAGACGCTCCCCTACGGCGAGACCTGACCCCACCCCTCGCCAAGGCCTCTTCCGCGACTCCTTCCGGCTCTATCCGACCGACTTCCGGCGCGTAGGCTGGCCACATGCCCGGATATGGGCGGTGGGGCCGAGCGGCCGCTTCCGGTTGGCCGCTCGACCCAGGAGCGCATCCTCGTAGCCGGGGCCGCTTCAGCCCCGTCCCATCTCTGTCGTGGAGGATCCGCCTCGGCACAGGCAGGCTCGGTCCGGCCTTGCGGTAAGCCTTCGGCCGCGGCTGCCGGGCAGTCCTGGCGGCGGCGCACCGACGAGCGGACGGGTGGACGCCAGGGTCTGAGGCGGCTCCTCAGTTCCGCTGCTGGCCCACCACCGTGGGGGTCGGGTGCCGCTCCCTCCGCCGTCAGGGCCCTCTTCTCTTCCTGCCTGTCTGGGTAAGACGCAGAGTCCAGTAGGAGCATCCCCCGCCCCGGGGGGCTGGGAGTGCAATCCTGACACCCCTTTCCAGTTCCGCCCATGAAAACCTGATTTCACTGTAAAAAACGGCCCTGATCCGTTTGCTCTCTGGCGTGAACCAGGAGGGGTCCAAATCCACATTTTCTTCTAAATCTTTTAAGTGCATTTCCCTGGCTCCAGGCACCTTGTTCTTTTCTGGAGGACAGTGCTCCACGCGCTAAGATGTCTCGAGAGCATACAAGGCCCAGCCCACACTCGCTCACTGACATGGCACTCCTACAGACAAGTTACCTGCCACACCCTGTAACGATCCAGCTGAATTTAAGGAAACAAGAACCAGCGTGTAGAGTATTGTGGCTGACTGCCACTGGAACATGGTCATACATGGGTTCTTAAACGGGGGAAATAGTTTTGGAGGACCTCTAATGGTTCATTCACTGACTTACAAAAAATGTACTGTAAAGACTGGAGAGTTAATCACTTCACCCTGAGAATGTAGGTGCCATTGGAGTCATGGCTCTTCCTGTCTTCATGGACACATCTGTCATATACACCACTGTAACCTAGAATTGTGCCTGGCACTTCGCAGGCATCGATATTTGCCGAATGAATGAGAGTCGCATAGTGCTTTTCATTATGACTAACTCCTTTATGAACTCTGCCCAGTCCAGTCTTGTTTTACCACTTACCATACAGTCAGTGCTTTGTTTTTGACCAAAGAGGGTCTGGGTGGTAGATGCTGACCACTATTAGTCATTCATTTAACCAGTTTTTACTAGTCAGTTCAAGTTACCGCAAGAGATATTTGTTGAGTACCCACTAATAAAGGACATAAAAATAAAAAAAAATAAAGGACACAGAACTATGCTAAAACACCCCCCATCCCTCCTTTCTTTCAAGAGAGTTGTTGAGATCCAGGAGCTTGTGATTTTACGAACCAGTTGGACAGCAAGTGCTTGATTGTTTAGTAAATGCAATAAGTGCTGTAGCAGTTGAGAGGAGAGATCAGTTTGGATTAAGATCTTTATTGAATCAACTTCATATAAATTATGGAGTGTAATTAGGGTTTGGATACATGATACTCCCTGCATGGAAAAGCTCCTAAGCAAAGATTTAAAGACCAGAATGAACAGAGAGCTTGGAGTGGAAGGTTTGTATTTGGGAACATTAGGAAAATGTTGAGCAAGGTTATATCGTGATGAAAGCTATGTTTTAATATTATTTGTCGAGAGTTTTGGGGTTGTAGAAGCTTGCAAAGAGGTAACCAGATGCTGTGGTGTTTAATAGATGTGGTTGATGTGAACCTGGGTTAGTGTGTTGGCAGCAGGAGCAGAAAGGATAAATTATGTGTAGATGAAGGAAAATCAGCAGAATGCTTTAGTTGTCATGTTATTTGGTGCTGTCATTTTGGTTAATTTATTAAATGCCTGGTATGTCTTTGCCAGGTTCTTGGAATACAAAGATGAATAAGACGTGGTCTTGCCTGCAAGGAAATACTTTTAATGGGGGAGAGAATACAACTAGCTAGACAATATGGTTTGTAAGTGCTATGTTAGCAGAATAGAGGGGAATATTAGAGAAGTGGGAAAGGAATTTTTTTTTTCTTTGAGTGTGTGACTACTTCACAGAAGAGGTGACATTTCAGCAGGATCTTAAGGATGGATTGGAATTTCCCAGGGAGAAAAGAATTTAAGGAAAAAGAAATTGCACAAACAAGAGCCTAGAGACAGAAAAGCAAACTGGTCAGTATCCAGCGTGGCTTGGGCGTAGGATAGAGTTGAGCTTTTAACACAGTGTGTAGGCCCTAGAACGTATTAAGGGATAGTAACATGGCCATTTTATAATAGGTGGAATGGAGGCTAGGTTGGGTAAAAATGTAGAGAGATGAAGAAGAAAGCAGTTGGGGAAACTTGCTCTTCATAGCTTCTATATTCTCTGCAGGGTAGACGGTGAAGCCATTTGCAGAGAGGGAGGTGGCTGACACTAGAATTGGGGGTTGAAGGAGAGAAATAAGGACTTGCAATACTGATGGGGAGTAGGAAGAGGAATCATCAAAGAAGGTATTAAGGAATTGCTGAGCAACTTTGAAAGTTTAGCTTTAATTGGATTTAAATATTTGTAATGAGTGCAGTGGACATGGATATGAGGCCTTCTTAAATGGCATATGGTAGCCAAGAGAAGTAGAGAAAAAAGACAGTTTATGGAGATTGGTGAACAGAGTGAACTGGTCTACAAATGGAGCAAGATGTTGAAGGGGATAGTCTGGGGCGTAGGGAAATGAACACTGCCTCTAGGCTAGGTTGGAAAAGAAATTAAGCTTGGAGAGGCCAGATGGACTAGGAGAACAGGAAGGAGGGGGCCGTCAGGAGACTAGAGGCAGAGATGAGGTGAAAGAGGGATAGAAGTGTGAGTTTTGCGAGAAAAGCAATTTTTTGAGTTGGAGCAGAGATAGAAGTTTTACAGATTGAGTAAAATATAGGAGATACCTATAGTTTACAAAAGTATCCGTGTGTTATAAAAATTCACTCTAAGTCATTTAATTAAAACTCATAATTTCTTCATTTTCCCATAGAAGCAGTGTTAGAACTAGGAGTTAATTTCCTAAGCAAGCTCACACGTATGAAATACTATACATCTGCATTGGAAATAATAATGTATATACACACAAATATATATATATAGTATATTCAAAAAATAAAGTTGCAGTTTTTTTGAAATATGTAACTTAAGTTATATTTGAAAAAAGATGATTAATATACCATAAAATTCACCTTTTTTCAGTATATAATTCAGCGGTTTCCAGTATTTTCAAAGGGTTATAAAAACATCACTACTATCTAATTCAAGGACATTTTCATCACCCCAAAAAGAAGCCCCATACACATTAGCAGTCACTCCCTATTCCTCCTTGCCCTCAGCCCCTGGCAACCACAAATCAATCTATCTATATGGATTTTTCTACTCTGGACATTTCACATAAATGGAATAATAAAATATGTAGTTCTTTGTAACTGGCTTCTTTCAGTTAGCATCATGTTTTCAGGATTCACTGATGTTGTAGTATGTATCAGTACTTTGTTCCTTTTTTATGGCCAAATAATATTCTACTGTATGGATATATTTCATTTTGCTGTTCATCAGGACATTTGAGATGTTTCCACATTTTGACTATGTGAACAATACTGCTATGGACATTTAGGTACATGATTTTGTGAGGACATATGTTTAGCAGTTCTCTTGAGTATATACCTAGGAGTGGAATTGCTGGGTCATATGGTAAACCATGTTTAACTTTTTGAGGAACCACCAAGCTGTTTTCTGAAGTGGCTGCAGCATTTTATAATCACCAGCAATATATGAGACTTCCTTTTTCTCCACACCTTTACCAACACTTGTCTTTTTAATTTTTAGCCATCCTAGCGGTGTAAAGTGGTAGGTATCTCAATGTGGTTTGATTTGCATTTCCCTAATGGCTAATGTTGCACATCTTTCTATGTGCTTATTGGCCATTTGTATCTCTTCCTTGGAGAAATGTCTGTTCAGATCCTTTGCTCAGTTTTTAACTGGGATACTTGTCTTTTTATTGTTGAGTTGTAAGAGTTCTTTATATAGGAAATTTATATTTGAGCATTGGGCATGGGTTTTTAAATTTTTTCCTAAATTTTTAAAAAATATTATAATATTTGGTGAACACTTCCAAAGATTTTAGAGTTTGATATCACTGGTTCTCTAATTTCTTTTCCAAACATACAGCTTTTTATTTTTATGATGTAGGTGTACTAGTGTATTAAATCATTCATCCTACACTTATTTGCCATAAATAAGATCAGTTTTTTAATCCTAAATGGAACAATGTAAGATAGAATGATTTTGAGAGTGAGTATAATATCTATACTGTGAATTTTTTCAGTTGAGTAAAGATGACAGCAATCAAGCACGCATTACAAAGAGACATTTTTACACCAAATGACGAACGCCTGCTGAGTATTGTCAATGTCTGCAAAGCAGGAAAAAAGAAAAAGAACTGTTTTTTGTGTGCCACAGGTGGGTATTTAGTAAGTCAAGGTTCTTGTTTGGCATTCTTTTATTCCCTAGGGGTCATTTCCTCATTGTTTAAAATATTCTTGGACTTCCCTGGTGGTCCAGTGGTTAATCTGCCTTCCAATGCAGGGGACATGCCTTCTATCTCTGGTCAGGGAACTAAGATCCCACGTGCCACGGGGCAGCTAAGCCTGCGTACCACAACTAGAGAAGCCTGTGTGCTGCAGTGAAAGATCCTGCATCCCACAAAGAAGATCCTGTGAACTGCAATTAAGACCTGATGCAGCCAAATAAATAAATTTAAAAAATAAAAGAATGACCATGTATCACTTTAAAAAAAAAAAGAAATTCAATTTCAAAAATAAATAAATAAAATAAAATATTCTCATTATTTCTGTGATTGGAAAATCGGGCCAACAAATTCGTTTTTTTTCAATTGTCTTTAATTAAATCTTGAGTAGATACAAAAGTATTTCTTTTTTAAAAATATTTATTTATTTATTTTTGGCCGCGTTGGGTCTTTGTTGCTGCACGCGGGCTTTCTCTAGTTGCCATGCGCTTCTCATTGCGGTGGCTTCTCTTGTTGTGGAGCACGGGCTCTAGGTGCTTGGGCTTCAGTAGTTGTGGCACGCGGGCTCAGTAGTTGTGGCTCAGGACTCTAGAGCACAGGCTCAGTAGTTGTGACGCACAGGCTTCGTTGCTCCGTGGCATGTGGGATCTTCCCAGACCAGGGATCAGACTCGTGTTCCCTGCACTGGCAGGCAGATTCTTAACCACTGCACCACCAGGGAAGTCCCACAAAAGTATTTCTGTAACATACATACAAGGTGTGAACACTTGTGTATACCACTGTCCAGAATAAGAAGAATTTTACCATTACCTTTGAAGTCTCCTGTGTGCCCTGCCCTGCTCCCATTCCCTTCCCTCCCTCATTAAGAGGTAACTAGTATCCTGAGTTTTGATTTACTCTTTCCTTGCTTTTCTTTATCATTTTGCCATATGTGTTTGTAATCTCGAATATACATTGTTATATTTGCGTGTCTTTGAACTTTACATAAATTGAATCATAGCACAGGTATTCATTTGTGACTTTTTCCACTCAACAGTATGTTTGTGAGTGTTATCTCTTGTTTTTCTCCCATAGCTGTAATTCTTTCATTTCCACTGCTGTGTAGTATTCTACTCTGAGAGTACTGCTGTTTACTTACCCATCTTACCAGTGATGACCAGGAGGTTTGTTTCCAGATTTTGCTGTTCGGGCAGCACTTCTGTGAGCATGTTTGTCCTTGTCTGCGAGTGTACACAGGCAAGAATCTTCTAGGGTAGACACCTAAATGTGAGCTTGCTGGGTCATAGGCAGTGAATGGTCAACACTACCCTAATACCAGATTATTTTCAAAAGTAGTTGTACTGGTTTTCACTCCCACAAGCAGTGTGTGTTTCGGGTTCTCCACATCCTAGTCTAAACTTGGTTTTGACAGACTGTTGTTTCCAATCTGGTGGGTGTGAAATAGAATCTCGTGGTTTTAAATTGCATTTCCCTAAATAATAATGAGATTGAGCCTCTTTTCATGGATTTATTAGCCATTAATTTTCTTGCCTAAGAAATTTGCCTGTTTAAGCCTTTTACTCGTTTTTCTATTCTGTTGGTTGTCCTTTTACCGATTTCTTTAAGTTCTGTATGTAATTTGGATACTAATTTGCTGATTGTATGCATCCCAGTTTATGGCTTATCTTTTCACTTTTTGTGATGCTTTTTAATGAAATCAGATTAATCAGTCTGATCATTTATAGCTTCCCCTTTTTGTGTCTTATTTAAGATATCCTTCCATACCCTGGAGTAATAAAAGTATTCTCCTATACTACATTCTACAAGTTTTATAATTTTACCTTTCACATTTCAGTCTTTGATTTACCTGTGTCCATGTTTATAGTGATGAGTGTGAGTGTGTTTGTTTCTGGGTCCGTTCTTATATCTGGATTTTATGTTGTCTTGTGGGTATTTTGTTTTTTCATCTGAATTTTAGAATCAAGTTCCAAATTTTGTTGGGAGTTTGATTGGAATTGTTTTGAATCTGTAGTTCACTTTGGAGAGAACTTGCATTTTATGATATTAAGTCTTCTTGTTCATGAATATGGTGTGGTTCTCCATTTATCTTGGTCTTCTTTAATGCCTTGTAATAAGGTTTATAGTTTTAAAGACTTTCAATAAGTTTTATGATTTTATTATTACTATTTTTTTAATGTTTATTTATTTATTTGGCTGCGCCGGGTCTTAGTTGCAGCACAAGGGATCTTTGTTGCCACATGTGGGATCTTTAGTTGCAGCATGTGGGCTCTTAGTTGCGGCATGCGGGATTTAGTTACCTGACCAAGGCTCAAACCTGGGCCCCCTGCATTGGGAGCACGGAGTCTTAACCACTGGACCACCAGGGAAGTCCCAAGTTTTATAATTTTAAAGGCTTTGCACATGTGTTCATATTTTATATTTACCCCTAGATATTTATTTATTCCTAGATTTTTAATACTATTGTAAATAATAACTCCTGTTAGCATTAATACATTTTTAAGACTTTATTTTTTTTAGAGCAGCTTTAGGTTTATAAGAAAATTGAGAGGTAGGTACAGAGATTTCCCTTATGCCCCTTTCCCCACACATGCATAGCCTTTCGCTTTGTTAACACTACTCACCACAGTGGTACATTTGTTACCAAGAATGAACCTACGTTAACAAATCATAATCACCCAAAGTCCATAGTTTACTGTAGGTTTCACTCTTGGTGTTGGGTTTGGACAAATGGATAATGTCATATAGAGTATTTTAACTGCCCTAAAAATCCTCCGTGCTCTGCCTGTTCATCTCTTCCCCAATCCCTGGCAACCACTGATCTTCTTACTGTCTCCACAGTTTTGCCTTTTCCAGAATGTCATATAGTAATTGGAATCAAATAGTATGTAACCTTCTCAGATTGGTTTCTTTCACTTAGTAATATGCATTTAACTTTCCTCCATGTGTTTTCATGGCTTATAGCTCATTTCTTTTTAGTGCTGCATAACATTCCATTGTCTAGATGTACCACAGTTTATTTATCTATTCACCTACTGAAGGACATCTTGGTTGCTTTCAAGTTAGCAGTTATAAATAAAGCAGCTATAAACATCCGTGTGCAATGTTTTTGTGTGGACGTATGTTTTCAGCTCCTTTGGGTAAATACCAAGGAATGCAGTTGCTGGATGATATGGTAAGAGTACGTTTAGTTTTGTTAGGAAACTGCCAAACTCTCCTCCAAAGTGACTGTACCTTTTTTTTTTTCCGGTATGCGGGCCTCTCACTGTTGTGGCCTCTCCCGTTGCAGAGCACAGGCTCTGGATGCGCAGGCTCAGCGGCCATGGTTCACGGGCCCAGCCGCTCCGCGGCACGTGGGATCTTCCCGGACCGGGGCACGAACCCGTGTCCCCTGCATCAGCAGGCGGACTCTCAACCACTGCGCCACCAGGGAAGCGCCCTGTACCATTTTTAATTCCCACCGTCAGTGAATGACAGTGCATGTTGCTTCACATCCTCACCAGCATTTGGTGTTGTCAGTGCTCTGGATTTTGGCCGTTCTAATAGGTGTGTAGTGGTATCTTGTTGTCATTTGAATTTACGTTTCCCTGATGACATATGCTATGGAGCATCTTTTCATATGCTTATTTGTGGTCTATATATCTTCTTTGGTCGGGTGTCTGTCAAGGTCTTTGGCCCATGTTTTTAATCTGAATTTTTTTTCTTATTTTTGAGTTTTAAGAGTTTTACTTCTCAAGTAATCTGCCTCTGACCTTCTAGTCTGATTTAGATTCTTCCATTAGTATTCTGTGTATTCCTCAGTCATAGCATTTGTTATGAAATACTATTCCTGTTTTAGTATTGTGTATAGACACCTGACAGCTGTGTTTGCAATGAATTAATGAAGAATGAGGAAATGAATAATGTCTCTAATGAAAGTGTGTGTTTTATTCAACAGTGACAACTGAACGCCCCGTGCAGGTGAAGGTGGTCAAAGTCAAGAAATCTGATAAAGGAGATTTCTACAAAAGGCAGATTGCTTGGGCCCTTCGAGACCTTGCTGTGGTAGATGCCAAGGATGCTATTAAAGTATGTTTTTCTTAGTTCTTTGACATGAATTCAGAAAGTGTCTTTCATTTTATAACATAGTATGTTGTCTTCTAAGATGATCTAAACTTGTTTTGTGACCCAGTAGTTCACCACCTAACCAGCAATTAGTCTAAAGTGTATTATCCAACCTTCCATTCTCTCACTTCTCATTCGCAGGCTACTTAAAATAAATATGTATGTAAGCTTGTTTCATTGTTTGTGCTTTTTTTTTTTTAGCTACAATTATGTTTGTTCCCAGGCTACATAACTAGAGCAAAATAACCTTGGCTGTACATTTCTGTATTTAGATTAGGTATACTTAGTATAAAATCCATAAATTAGTATGGATTTTAAAGTGGTGTGTTGTGTGAGTAGTTTTTAAAAAAATCATTGTTTTGGTAAAACCTAGTTCAGAAATCACAGAAAATATAACCAAAGTGAATCTTCCTTAGGTAGTCCCTAAAAATAATGTAGAATCACCAGCTGAGGCAGCCAAGCTGGCCCTCTGAAGCTATGGTTTGAATATTGTGGCTCAAGTGATGGCAGTGATAGTGAGTTTCACCCCTTATTTTAAGGACTTTGAAGAATAAGATATAAGACATTTTTAAATAAGATATTAATAAGATACCTTACACCTTAAGTCACACTCAAACTCCAGGAAAGTTGAATAATACGATAATCGTGATACAGGGCCACCTTTATTCCTGACAGTTCAAGGCTTTTCACAGCAATACCCTTTTTTTAAAAAAAAAAAGAAATAGGGCTTCCCTGGTGGCGCAGTGGTTGAGAGTCCGCCTGCCGATGCAGGGGACACGGGTTCATGCCCCGGTCTGGGAGGATCCCACATGCCGCGAAGCGGCTGGGCCCGTGAGCCGTGGCCGCTGAGCCTGTGCGTCCGGAGCCTGTGCTCCGCAATGGGAGAGGCCACAACAGTGAGAGGGCGGCATAACGCAAAAAAAAAAAAAAAAAGAAAGAAATAAAGTAGACCCCCTCAGGTTAAAGTAGGTGCTTCTTCCTCTTCAGCCTCTCTAACCCTCCCCCTCATCTTCCTCTGCAGCCCAGAGGCACCTCCAGAGCTCTAGGGAATGCCTTGTACCACATCTACTGTACTGTGGATGGGGCTGATAGCAAGGCTTACAGTACTGTAACTACATGTGTCCATTGACTGAACTCTACAAGTCTCATACAGTGATTAAAAAGGCACAAAGAAGTGAAAACTACCTTTGTAGAGCAGTCTGATAAAATAAAAGTCTGGTTTTTTGCTGACCTGGTACAAACCTCTGAGGAACTAAAAGCTGGACAGCGTGACAGGCAGCTGAGTCAGGTGCAAGAAGATTTTTTTAATGAAGCAGAAACAGCTTTAGGAGAGTCCTGCATATCTGTAGAGTTGAGATTTCTTCCAAAATGTAGAGAATGCCTGTTCTTTAAATATTTTAGGCAAACTGGGCCTTTGCTTTATTCCTAAAAAGCACCCAGTTTTTAGAAAAATGGGGGATGTGGAAAACGGTGTCTGACAGGTGCTTTGAATGTGGGTGCATGTATATGTATTTGGAAAGAACATGAAAATGAAATTTTAAAAAACACTTCAATTATTTAATAATTTCTGTTATTATGGGAAGGATCAAGAGTAGAGATTTTCTGTTTAAGACAAAATACTTGAAAGGCTTTTTAGAAATTCACCTTTATTAAAAAGCCTTTTTCTCTTCAGTAGTTCCACACTTCATAACCCCGTTGACTTGTGTAATTCACTAACATTGCTGAATGCTTATTTGAATGCTTTCCTCAGCTGACACCTCATTGCTGACTTGCTTAATGGATTTTTTTTCATTTTATGCAGGCACCTTGGTGTGTGTACGCTACATATGGATATAAAACATAAAATTTTTATACATAGCCTAACATTAGCCATTTTGCATCACACATTAATAATTTTTTAAAAAATATTATTTATTTATTTATTTTTGGCTGTGTTGCATCTTCATTGCTGCGTGCAGGCTTTCTCTAGTTGCAGTGAGCAGGGGCTACTCTTAATTGCGGTGCACGGGCTTCTCATTGTCGTGGCTTCTCTTGTTGCGGAGCACGGGATCTAGGCACACAGGCTCAGTAGTCATGGCTCCTGGGCTTAGTTGCTCCGCGGCATGTGGCATCTTCCCAGACCAGGGCTCGAACCCGTGTCCCCTGCATTGGCAAGCGGATTCTTAACCACTGCACCACCAGGGAAGTCCCTGCATCACGCATTGATTTGTGTGAGTGTTGCTGCTGGTGCAGTCAGCCTCTTTTATGGCATTATGTGAAATATTCCCAGGGAAGAGATCATTTCCCGTCAAGCTTCATATGAGTTGCCAAGACTCTTAGATTTCTTTATAAATACTAAGGCAATTATTTTTTTTGAATTTTTGAATTTTATTATATTTTTTATACAGCAGGTTCTTATTAGTCATCCATTTTATACGCATCAGTGTATACATGTCAATCCCAATCTTCCAATTCATCACACCACCACCACCATCACGCCCCTCCACTGCTTTCCCCCCTCGGTGTCCATACGTTTGTTCTCTACATTTGTGTCTCAATTTCTGCCCTGCAAACTGGTTCATCTGTACTATTTTTCTAGGTTCCACATATATGCGTTAATATATGATATTTGTTTTTCTCTTTTTGACTTACTTCACTCTGTATGACAGTCTCTAGATCCATCCACATCTCTACAAATGACCCAGTTTTGTTTCTTTTTATGGCTGAGTAATATTCCATTGTATATACGTACCACATCTTCTCTATCCATTCGTCTGTCGATGGGCATTTAGGTTGCTTCCATGACCTGGCTATTGTAAATAGTGCTGCAATAACATTGGGGTGCACATGTCTTTTTGAATTATGGTTTTCTCTCGGTATATGCCCAGTAGTGGGATTGTTGGGTATATGGTAATTCTATTTTTAGTTTTTTAAGGAACCTTCATACTGTTCTCCATAGTGGCTGTATCAGTTTACATTCCCACCAACAGTGCAAGAGGGTTCCCTTTTCTCCACACCCTCTCCAGCATTTGTTGTTTGTAGATTTTCTGATGATGCCCATTCTAACTGGTGTGAGGTGATACCTCATTGTAGTTTTGATTTGCATTTCTCTAATAATTAGTGATGTTGAGCAGCTTTTCATGTGCTTTTTGGCCATCTGTATGTCTTTAGAGAAACGTCTATTTAGGTCTTCTGCCCATTTTTGAATTGGGTTGTTTGTTCTTTTAATATTGAGCTACATGAGCTGTTTATATATTTTGGAGATTAATCCTTTGTCCATTGATTTGTTTGCAAATATTTTCTCCCATTTTGAGGGTTGTTTTTTGTCTTTTTTATGGTTTCCTTTGCTGTGCAAAAGCTTTGAAGTTTCATTAGGTCCCACTTGTTTATTTTTGTTTTTATTACCATTACTCTAGGAGGTAGATCAGAAAAGATCTTGCTGTGATTTATGTCAGAGTGTTCTTCCTATGTTTTCCTCTAAGAGTCTTACAGTGTCCAGTCTTACATTTAGGTCTCTAATCTATTTTGAGTTTATTTTTGTGTATGGTGTTAGGAAGTGTTCTAATTTCATTCTTTTACATGTAGCTGTCCAGTTTTCCTGGCACCACTTACTGAAGAGACTGTCTTCTCCATTGTATATCCTTGCCTCGTTTGTCATAGATTAGTTGATCATAGGTGCGTGGGTTTATCTCTGGGCTTTCTATCCTGTTCCATTGATCAATATTTCTGTTTTTGTGCCAGTACCATATTGTCTTGATTACTGTAGCTTTGTAGTATAGTCTGAAGTCAGGGAGTCTGATTCCTCCAGTTTGTGTTTTTCCCTCAAGACTGCTTTGCCTATTTGGTGTCTTTTGTGTCTGTATACAAACTTTAAGATTTTTTGTTCTAGTTCTGTAAAAAATGCCATTGGTAATTTGATAGGGATCGCATTGAATCTGTAGTTTTCTTTCGGTAGTATAGTCATTTTCACAATATTGATCCTTCCAATCCAAGAACATGGTATCTCTCCATCTGTTGGTATCATCTTTAATTTCTTTCATCAGTGTCTTATAGTTTTCTGCATAGAGGTCTTTTGTCTCCCTCGGTAGGTTTTTTCCTAGGTATTTTATTCTTTTTGTTGCAATGGTGAATGGGATTGTTTCCTTACATTCTCTTTCTGATCTTTCATTGTTAGTGTATAGGAATGCAAGAGATTTCTGTGCATTAATTTTGTATCCTGCAACTTTACCAAATTCATTGATTAGCTCTAGTAGTTTTCTGGAGGCATGTTTAGGATTCTCTATGTATAGTATCATGTCATCTGCAAACAGTGACAGTTTTACTTCTTCTTTTCCAATTTGTATTCCTCTTATTTCTTTTTGTTCTCTGATTGCTGTGGCTAGGACTTCCAAAACTATGTTGAATAGTGGTGAGAGTGGACATCCTTGTCCACAATTAACTTTTTTTTAAAAAAATTTATTAAGTATAGTTGATTTACAATGTTGTGTTAATTTCTGCTGTACAAAAAAGTGATTCAGTTATACATATATATATACATTCTTTTTCATATTCTTTTCTATTATGGTTTATCACAGAATATTGAATATAGTTCCCTGTGCTATACAGTAGGACCTTGTTTATCTCTTCTATGTATAATAGTTTGGATCTGCTAATCCCAAACTCCCAGTACATCCCTTCCTCACCTCTCCTCCCCCTTGGCCATCACTAGTCTGGTCTCTATGTAAGTGAGTCTGTTTCTGTTTCACAGATAAGTTCATTTGTGTCACATTTTAGATTCCACATATAAGTGATATCATATGTATTTGTCCTCCGTCTGACTAACTTCACTTAGTATGATACTCTCTAGTAGCATCCATGTTACTGCAAATGGCATTATTTCATTCTTTTTTATGGCTAAGTAGTATTTCATTGTATATATGTACCACATCATCTTTATCCATTCATTTGTCAATGGACATATAGGTTGTTTTTCTGTCGTGGCTGTGGTAAATAGTGCTGCAGTGAACATTGGGGTGCATTTATCTTTTCAAATTATAGTTTTGTCCAGGTATATGCCCAGGAATGGGATTGCTGGATCATATGGCAACTATTTTTAGTTTTTTGAGGAACCTCCATACTGTTTTCCATAGTGGCTGCACCAACTTATAATGCAATTACCTTTTCGTTGTAAGTGAAAGTTTTTAATCTTTTGTCACTTTAATTCTGCTTATTGAGCTATAAATTCATTAGTACATCCATGCTACTGTAATATGATTGTACCATAGGTAAGTCTTGATCCCTAAATTATCCCAGATCTTCACAGTGAAAGTCATATCACTTTCCTTGCCTACTTATGGTCTTTATTACATTTTATTCCCCCTAAATAACACTTTAAATTAATTGAATACATGTTTAGCCTTCTATAGAACATTAAAAACATTTGAGCCTATTTTTAATTCTTTGGATGTGAAGGAAAGTATACATCCATATGTTTTCATATTTTATACAGTAGTCAAGTAGTTCTAAATTCAAGGGAGAATATCAAGGCATGAAAATATTTCTGTACTGTGGCTTAAGAGACATGTAGAAAGCATAGTGCAGTTCTCTCACACCAGTTGAACTTCTTTTTCATTTGAAATGACCTTAAAAGGCTTGTATTTTTTACTTTTGAGACACCTTTAATTGTTCTGTATTTTCAGAATTGTAAACAGGAGCAGTCCCTGCTTTTCACCTCATTTGTTCTTGGAAATGACACTAGGGTATAGATTGTATTTTTTCTCACATGTTATAATGAGAAGATTCACAGCTGTGAATAATAGCACATTATCAAAGAAAAAGTATAACTGTAAAACCCCATAGGCAATTTAAAAAGAAAAATTAGGTCCACATCAAAACCAGAAACCATTGCCATCTTATAAACTAGGAAGCTGAGACACAGTCCATCAGACATCCTATACTTTCACTCATAGACCTAAGGGGCATAGAAAGGAAATTACCAGAATACTATGTTGTTTTTAATCCAGCTTCTTTTGAGAGGTACACAAAATTTGTGCTATAAATTGAATTCTCTGAACCATTCTCTGCAAGTCACTTAGTCGATTGTGTGTGTGTGTGTGTGCGCATGTGCGTGTGTGTGTGCACGTGCGCACGCAGTTCTTTGCCACTATGTGTGGGTCCATGTAACCACTGCTACAATCAAGATACAGAAGTATTACAACACCTTAAAGAGCTCCCTCAGCTACCTCTTTATAGCACACCCATCCTCTTTCCTCCCCTCAACAATCCCTGACTCCTGACAACCACTAATCTATTCTCCATCTCATCTATTTCGAGTAGAATTTCATTTTGATTTATTTATAGTTATTGGAGACTATCTCTTTGTGTAGATATTTAGGTATGACATTATATAGACATAACTTAGTTTTGCTTGTGCTGACATTACCAGTTTCAGTGAGGGAAAAAACCTTTTAGTCGATTTTTTTTTTTTTTTTTTTTTTGCTGCATTGGGTCTTTGTTGCTATGCGCGCGCTTTCTCTAGTTGCAGCGAGTGGGGGCTACTCTTCATTGCAGTGCATGGGCTTCTCATTGCAGTGGCTTCTCTTGTTGTGGAGCACGGGCTCTAGGCATGAGGCCTTCAGTAGTTGTGGCACATGGGCTCAGTAGTTGTGGCTCGCGGGCTCTAGAGCGCAGGCTTAGTAGCTGTGGTGCATGGACTTAGTTGTTCTGTGGCATGTGGGATCTTCCCGGACCAGGGCTTGAACCTGTGTCCCCTGCACTGGCAGGCGGATTCTTGACCACTGTGCCACCAGGGAAGTCCCCCTTTTAGTAGATTTGTAATGGTGATTTTTTTTTCCAACAACAGCTTCAACTTCTTTTTGTTTTATTGAAATATATATTTTACAATAATGAAAAGAGGATATGATCAAAAACAATATCTTTTGCATATTTTTATTTCAGGAAAATCCTGAATTTGATTTACATTTTGAAAAAATATATAAATGGGTTGCCAGCAGCACTGCTGAAAAGAATGCATTTATTTCATGCATTTGGAAACTGAACCAGCGATATCTCCGGAAGAAAATTGATTTTGTCAATGTTAGCTCACAGCTTTTGGAAGGTAAAGTTAAATAAAAATGTATATGTAAAATCAGGTATATCTGTAAGTGAATATATAATTTGGCATTACTCAAAGTATTTAAAACTCTGAATTATCTTTTTTGTAAAGGAATTTTAAGATAATTTTTCTTATTGCAGAAGTGATGCTTGTTCATTATAGAAAACTGATTCATTAAATTAAATGAAAATCACTTATAAACTTAATCCTCGGAGATAACTATGCATTTCTATGCATACTGAAATGCTTTTTTTTAAATAAAGAAATTTATGTTGCTACCTAACATGCCTTTTCATATAATGTTTCATGAACATTTTCCATGTTATTAAACACTTACCCCGACATTATTTTTAATGGCACCATAGTATTCCATTGTATTGGGTATACTATAATTTTTTAACTAATCACTTTAAAAAATTTTTCCAATCTTTGCTTATCTTAAACAGCTCTGAGATGAATATCCTTGTAGCTGTATTTTTGTGTAGAGTGTAGGTGTAGTGTTTAAGAAACAACTCTGGAGTCAGACTGCCTGGGTTCAAATACTGGCTTTGTCACTTACTATAGCTGTGTGACCTTGGGTTACTCTATGTTTCAGTTTCTCGTATGTCAGAAACAGAGATAATAATAGTATCGACTCCATAGGATTGTTTTAAGGATTAAATTAATATATGAACATGATGAGAACAATGCCAGATATATAGTAAGAACTCAATTATATATTAACAATTATTATTCTATTATCAGGATAAAGTCTTAAGACGTGAGCTTAATTAGGGTATTTTAGATCAGTATGTCTTCAGGAATATTACTAGGGATTATTTTGTGTTATAAGACAAAAACTCTACTGTTAATTGTTGAAAACATACAATGAGGCTTTTTTCTTTTAAAATATCTTTTATGAAGACATACACATTGTGAGAAGATGGGTTCTGTGTGCCTTGGGGATGCAATTTGTGTTGTATTCTTTATCTCAAAGAAAGCAATTGAAGTAACAGCAGGTGGACAGAGTTGTTGCCCCTTTATTGAGAAAAAAAAAGTAGATTTGTTCTAAATTATATATTAGAAAGAAAACTTATATTTGTCCTAAGTTGTATATTAGCATTTCAAAATAGAAGCTTCTGTTCTGTCAAGTGAAACATCTGAAATTGCCAATATTCAACCAGTTTGACCTATAAAAATGGCAGTTTCAGATGCTTCAGACTATTCCTTGACTTAGTCACTTGCCTCTGTCCCTTCTCCATTTTGTTTTACTTAATTCCTTTGCTGTTTGGTCATCTATCTTTCTCTCCCTAAATGTAGTATTCTTGTCCATCACTTATTAATTAGTGAGGCCATTACTGGTTTCAGGCTTGATGCTTGGAACTGGCAGAGGCAAGTCACATCTCTCAGGCCACATGCTTCTCCCTACAGTGGGGCTGGCCTTGTGTCGGAGCCCTCAGGGTTGCCATCTCGCCAACATTAGCCTCCAGTGTCTTGGTTGAGTGTGTTGAGGGAATAACCTTTAAGAAATTTATGGTAATTTTCCATGCTTTGAATAGTGGCTTAATTTGTTCTGAGTAGCTTTCTTTTTTTTTTTTTTAACCATTTCAGGGTTGAACATTCTGATCAGTGAATGATTCATAAGCTTTCTGTTCTGTTTTTGAATATGATGTGTTTCCAGATGTTACTTATTGCCTGAGATGTATTTTAAACCAATATATTTCATTCAGTCAACAATATGGGCAAGTACATACCTACCTGTATTTACCTCATTAAGGAATATTACCAAAATCAATGAGAAGAGTATTGCTGTTTTTTGAGAATGAGGTGACTAGCTTTAAAAAAAGACAAGACATTTAATTTTTCAGGGCCTTAAATGAAGGTGTAGACATTTTTATTTTTATAAATATTACCTAATTGAGATCAATTTTAAGAATACTGAGATCCTTAAGGAGCTCATTTTGAAAATCACTTTCTATAAATTAGTAACTGTTGCTTTGGTTTAATGGAGTTCATATAGTAGCTTTATTAATGTCCATAAACTTGTTTAATGTTTTACTGGACTTTAAAATCATGACCACTAACTCCCATTTTTTAAAAAAAAGTCTCTAAGCTTTGGGTTATGTTAGAAAACAAATGAGAAATTATCAACATCTCCTTTTAAGAGCTAAGTAATCATTCAAGTAAGTAAGACTGTTCATTGGGAATGTTAGCAGTAGCAGCTTTAGTAGTTTTTATTGGTGACAATTGAATGTTCGTGCTAATAATTGGGACTTCTTAGTAGAATAAGGTTCTTAAAACAGGACCTTGTTAGCAGTTGAAGTAGAGTGAAGTTTTTGTTTGGGCTTTTCTTTTTCATTCTTGCAGCCAGATTTTTTTTTTAAATCTTTGACTTGAATCCTTAAAAGCCAGCTTGAACTGATAATCGTGTGTGTTTTTTTAAACTGCTTCCATCTTGTCCTTTCTAACAATGTTTTATGACTAATCCATTGTGAGGGAGTGTCTGGGTAAAGGTTTGGGCCTTGAGTGAAAATAACTAGACTAAACGCATGAGTCACAACTGACCTATAAGCAATCCCCAGGAAGTGATCTGTTTCCCAGTTTTCTCCTCCAAGGACTCGGCAGTACTGCTTCATAAACGACTAAGAGAAAATAGAAAGATAAATGTATTTTTAGTCACTGTCAGAAAAATGAATTAAAAAAATGAACACTGGAAATTTAGCTTCTTGTGGATATTTCCAGTTTGTAGTTGTATTTGACATTGTCTTTTAAGCTTTAATGTAGCATGAAGTTCGAATGAAATATGGGTAGTATTTTTAAAATTTAAACTTGTGTACGTTTCTAGCCAGCTAATATTCTTTGCTTACTTTCCTCTGCTTTTTTCATACCTTTTTACTCTCCAGAACTGCCTAAAGTTACAGAAGGTGCGTAACACCTTTTCTTCTTATTCTATTCCATAGATTTTTATTACTTGACGTTGTTATGTACTGTTGGTTGCATACTTTATGAAATTGTGTGCAGGGAAAAGTATATTACTACAAAATCCATATGGTAATAAAAATCGATGATAGTATTCATTATTGACTTCCAAAGGGCTGTTTTATGGAAGAGAAAATACTTCTGAAGCAGTTATGATCATTTAAAATATTTGTTTATTTTTAAATATTTACTTGTGCAAGGAGCTGTACAGAATGGTTTAGGCATTCCCTGCCCCCTAGTGGCTAAGAAGCTGTCACACATGACAGTTTAACATTTCCACAGTGACTGTTTCAAAGGATTAGGAGCTCGGTGATGCTACTGTAAGGAACTTATATTTATATACTGTAATCTGTAATTGCCTGTACCAAAAGTTTACCCCCTCCTTTTTTTTCTGGGACATTATCTAAATCGGCCTAATTGCCATTCTTAGGAGTAAACCGTTTGTTACTTTGAATTAGGTGTTTTTTGTTCTAGAACAAATGAACATATGTCACACTGAATGCAAATATTCATTTTCATACAAAATAATGAATATTTCAAACATCCAGTGTTTGTGATTTTAACATGTCACATGAGTTGATGAAAATCAATGACTTTGTTTCGAGGTTTATTTAGGGGTAAAAATTATTTTTTTCATTTTACCTCTCTTAACCTCAAGATTTATATAAATCCCACTTGCTGAGTGTATTCTCTCAAAAAACTGAACTGAGACATTTACCCAGAAAGCATCTCAGATTTGACCTCATGGTCTTTTGTTTTGAAGCAGGAAAACAGTTTAAATTTTTGTAATTTCACTCAGCTGTGTAGTTGTTGCTCTTCTTACTACAGTATACAGTTACTGAGAAAGTTTCTATTAGCTGATCTTTAGAAATTTTATTAACACATGTGAAAAATTTTTAAAGAAAGAAATGGAAAATTCAGTTAATATTTTCAGTGCCCAAAATAAATTGTGAATTGTAGATGCATTTTTAAAATTTCAATTGAAAGTTATTTGGAGGAAAAAAACATAACAAAGACAAAAAGAACAAAGATAACAGAAGAAAATGTTACCTGGGAAAAAAAGGGAAGCGAATTATTTTTCATGTGTCCTGAACTCATAATCATTGTTTTGTTAGAGCGACAGTCACTTCAGGTAGGGGGAAAGGTTAGTCTTGCACACATGCTTTGTTTCTGGTTTTGTATTTGTTTTATAGTTTATGTTTTGGGAAACTGTGACTAAAGCCTATTTTAACACAAGTCAGTGAATTAGACTGCATGCTTTTGTTATAATAATTATGTTAACACATGCAGTTCTTCATAATAATAAGGGTTTTTTTCATATATTTTGAATCATTTTTTCCTATTTTTCAGCCACTAAATGTGACCTGTGCTTATAACTGACCTTACCTATAAGTACAGTGCTATTGTCCATCCTACTTTTTTTTACTACTTTATTTTTAATTTTTACCCTCTTTAAGAATCTGTTCCAAGTGGAGAAAATCAGAGTGTGACAGGAGGCGATGAAGAAGCAGTGGATGAATACCAAGAGTTAAATGCAAGAGAAGAGCAGGATATTGAGATAATGATGGAAGGCTGTGAGTATGCAATTTCAAATGCCGAGGCCTTTGCAGAAAGGTTGTCCAGAGAGCTTCAGGTGCTAGATGGGGTAAGCCTTTCTTGTAATCTATGATTAGTGATGTTTGTGTAGTGAATTGAGGAGACTGGTGATGTTCATATTTTACTGCCTGAGCACTTAAGCCTGGGTAGTGTGATTATTGCTGTCTTTCTCTATAAGTGCATTACCAGCTGCCATCAGTCTTTCACTGTTCTTGTTCAAAAGACAACCATTCCTAATAGGCCAATGAAGGCAGTTGGCTGAGGTTCTGGATTTGGGGAGCTTCTTGATTTGGAGTGATGGAAGTAAAAAGTAGCCAGCCTGAAACCAACTTGAGGGTTGATTCCCCCAGCCTCTGAAACACCTCAGAATAGTTCAATGTAAAAGAATAACGTTTTTGTGGTTTGAAGGAAAAAAAAAAAGGAACAGGTTAGAAAGAGAGAAATTGGTCTGAAAGAAGTGAATCATGTACCCAAAGAGAGCAAGATAGTGTGGTGAAAACAGAGAGCCAGGGGAAAAGGATGTTTGACTCCCTTGCTGAAATGTTTTGGAATAGACTCTATTCATTTGTATGCAAATTTCTGTTTGTATCTAAATGCACATCTTTATTTATCTACTTTTTTTTAGAAAGTAAAAAGCTGAAGGTAGCACCTCTGTTGTGAGAAAAGCCTAAAATGGGAACATTTGGGGGTTTTTTATTTTGTTTAGACCAGGTATGCATTTAAGAAAAATCCTCAGAGAATAAAAAATATTTAAAGACTTAAAGAATGTTAAGGTACATGAAAGGTGCAGAAGTTATGTGATTGAACTCAGGCCCAGAGATTACACGAACAGTCCAAGCTTACAAATCAATAAAACCCTCTGGAAGTAAAGCCTAGAAGAGACTTCAAGATGTTAAAGTAGAAATTGTCCTGGGTCAGTTCAAGCCCATCTCTGCTGCTTGATGTCAGTGGGTCTGAGCCCTGCTGCCTTTACAGTTGGGCTGCACCTACAATTGAGTTATTATGAATAGTGTATAAAATAACAAATGTGAAATTATAGCATCAACTGTACAATGATACTCTTTTAATTCCTTGTCCAAATTTTTTCCTCATATTGTGTTATCTGCCTTCTTAATGTGGCTTAGTGATTTGTATTATGTTTTCTAGTTAATATTGCATCTGTGTTGCAAGTCATCATATTACTTTGCAGTTTAATTTTGGATTTGAAAGCTTCCATATTTCAGGCAATTCAGAATCAATAGTCAGAATCATTTAGAAAACATTAATAAAGGGATGGTGGTTTGTTACTGCTTTGCCTCAAAAAAAAAGTAGTCGCAAATGAAAGAGAAAAGAAAGAATACCATAGAAGGAGCTATCTTATGGCAACAGGCTCTTCCACATCCTGTTAGTAGAAATCATACAACAGTTATAAATTAGTTCCATGAATTCTTCAAAGGCTGGCATACTACTGCTACCCTCTTGACTAAGGTATTAACATAGATGATTCTGCTTTTGTTTAGGGTTTTATGTAAATATTACAGAGTATAGAAAATTTTTATAGCTAATAGAGTTGGAAGAAGAAGTATCAGAGATGACATAGTGTAATGCCACTTAATTTATAGAAATGAGAATATACCATTACTGATGATACATCGTGGGGCAGAGCCCTACTTGTTCAGTCTGCAGAAATATGCAATACTGAGGTATGGTCCCTAACCTTGACATAAGGGAAAGTGTACTTTCCTGAAATACTGTGTAAAAAAGTGGAATGTAAACACAAAATGATAAATTAGATATTGAAATGTGTATGTCAACCTTTGTTACTCTGCTGTCAAAGAGATTTATCAATATTTCATTTTTATACCTCTTTTACACATTTGAAGAATACAAAGTATTACTTATCTTTTTAACTTTGTAGGCCAACATCCAGTCAATCATGGCCTCCGAAAAGCAAGTAAACATCCTAATGAACTTGCTGGACGAGGCTCTAAAGGAGGTGGATCAGATTGAATTGAAACTGAGCAGTTATGAGGAAATGCTCCAAAGTGTAAAAGAACAAATGGATCAGATCTCTGAGAGCAACCACCTGATTCATCTTAGTAACACTAATAATGTAAAACTCCTATCAGAGATAGAGTTCCTTGTGGTAAGCATGATTATAAATTACCAACAACAATAAAAAAAATCTAATGATAATATGTAAAGCCCATTTGTAAACATTTTCTAATTTCCTTAGGAGAGCAAGATTTAAAAATACTGAAATTCCAAAGAGCTAGTAATAGGATTGAGTAGCATCTTACCTGTAAATTTCCTGAAGAGTACATGTACAAACGGTGTATTTATATATATTCCAGAACCACATGGACTTGGCCAAAGGTCATATAAAGGCCCTTCAGGAAGGAGATCTTGCTTCCTCCAGGGGCATCGAGGCCTGTACCAACGCCGCGGATGCCCTTCTGCAGTGCATGAATGTGGCTCTTCGACCAGGTATGACAACAAAATCTGCCCAAGAACCTGAGACTAAGCCTGTGACTTAGTATAAAGCTTTTAACAAGAAGTGCATGGGGCAATGGTTTAGGGTTACATTCTTAGCTATTAAAACAAGTTTCACTTATTATCAAACATAATTCATATTAGCACTAAGAAATTTTTCATTTCAGTTCCTTCTGATTGACCATCAATGACTGGTTAACACCAGGATTTTTCTTCAGTACTGTCTATAGAACCTGGCACAAAGTAGATGACATAAGGTTTTGCTATGCCAGCAGTTCCAAAACTTGAGTTTGCATTAGAATCACCTAGAGCAGGGGTCCCAAACCCCCGGGGCTGCGACTGGTACTGGTCCGCGGCCTGTTAGGAACTGGGCCGCGCAGCAGGAGGTGAGCGGCGGACGAGTGAGCGAAGCTTCATGTGCCGCTCCCCATCGCTCGCATTCCTCCTGAACCATCCCCGCCACCACCATCTGTGGAGAAATTGTCTTCCACGAAACTGGTCCCTGGTGCCAAAAAGGTTGGGGACCACTGACCTAGAAGGCTTACGAAAATACAGATTGCCAGGTGCCACCTCCAGAATCAGTAGGTCTGGGCTGAGACCTTGGAATCCGTATTTCTAATAGTTCCCAGATGATGCTGAGGCAGGACCACACTGTGAGAACCACTGTGCTATATTATTTTTTTCCCTTTACCTTTCTTTTACAAAGCATACAAATAAACCAGTAAAACTTTGGGTTCTTCAGAACTGAAATATGAATACTGTTATAAAGGTATTCATTAAACATCGAGGAACTCTTTTTACGCATTAAATAAGTCAAAAAATGTTATGATTTCAGGCCATGACATGCTTCTGGCAGTCAAACAGCAACAGCAGCGTTTCAGTGATTTGCGAGAGCATTTTGCCCGGAGACTAGCCAGTCACCTCAACAATGTTTTTGTTCAACAGGTAATTTTATTTTATTATTAATACTGGCATGTTCCTGTAACCTGTTTATATGTATATTAACTTAAAATTAATATATATTAGCTTAAAATTAAATTCCCAGAAAAAATTTTAGTGTGTTTAATTGGGATCACAGTATATTCCTGCACACATTTCTTTGATTTTAATATTTTTAATATTTTTAAATTTTAATATTTGTAAATACATCTACGAGCAAATATGCGCATATTTGCTCGTAGATGTATTTGGGGCCTCAGTGGCCTCCTTAGGAAGACAGTCTAGTTCCTTTTAGGTAAAACTCCCTGAGTTTTAAATAACTATGCTTACATGTTGCATATACCATTTAGACATTCTTATTTATAAAAATAAGTCCAAACCTGTTAACATGTTTACTGTTTGGCTTGTTTTATTTTTCAGTATTTTGAATACTGAGAAGTAGGACTTGATTCCATGTTTGAAGTGTTTCATTGGCTTCATGTACTTACATATATGAGAAAAATGACTAAGTCAGTTATAAATTCCAGTTGATTTAATCTTATATAAACCCTTTGCATTTTTATATGGAAAGGGATATTATAATTAAGGTTGTGGCAATGATAGTAATGCTAATAATATTATTAAGGGTACCTTAGAGGGATTTGAATAGAAGACATTTTAATATCTGGGCATTTTAATAAATTAGGTTTCATATATTTTTCATCTCCTTTATTTTAATAGGGTTATTGGGCAAAAAAAAAATTGAGGGAAATTCTGTTCATCAAGAAATGCTGTCTGAAATACTAGATTCTTATTTTGTTTTCACTTTGTAGTATTCTAAAACAATTGTATTTACTATATTTTATTTCTGATTAGTTTACTCAGGCCCTCCTTCAACTCTATAACAGGTCCTACTTTCTTTCGGTGCCTGTGAGTACATCAACTTTGGCTCCAGCTTCTTTGATTCTTTTCTTTTTTCTGTAAAGTTTACTAAACTTAACAGCAGCAGAATCTTTATAGATTATAATTTACTGATTTAAGCTACCTGTTAACCATATTTATAGCAGTTTTTTAATGTCCCATAACAAAAAGTTTATTTAGGCCAAAAAAGCATTTAATCTCAGTCTGCTTGCCTTTCTTCCTGTCATTCTATCAGTCACTCACTTTCTCCTTCATATATTTAGAAATCATTTGCCAAGTGATTAGAGATGTATACCAGACATTTACTTGGAATAGATGAGAGGCTGATTCTGCCCTCAAGTCACTCACAGTCTAGAGAAGGGAGATATAATAGACTGATGGACTGAGGGCGGGTATATGTTATGATAGTGGTACTGTGGGAGCATAAAGGAAGACCATCTAACTAAGCATGCAAGGGGGAAATTGGGGAAGACTCTCTTAACATTGACGTGAAAAGCATCAAGAAAAAAGTAAACCTAGAAATCATGTAGGAAATACTAATGCACATTTTACTTACACTATTATTTCAATAATATCTATTTCTACACAGTTCCCTAGTTTTTAAAAATAATCCTGTTGACAGTGATACAGGCCACACTTGTAGATGGTACTGAAAATACTAGTCAGTAAACGATAATCCTTTCTGCACCCTTAATTGTTTGTTGTAACATGCTACTGTTTATGATTTTGCTTCCTTGCCTTATAAACTAATGGCTTTGTTTAAAGTGAATGCTTCCGAGTTCTGAAAATCTAATATGTATTGTTACATGTGAGTAATGCATGTTGAAAACCAGAATGTTGCAACAACCTAGAATGTGCTGAAGAAGGTGGAGGACAATGTCCCAAGTATAGAAAAGAGATTTTCTGTGTGTTAAATTTAATGCATTGTGTCATCTAGCAAAAGAGTTGGGAAACATGGGTATTTCTATTTCTGGTTGTGGGACACACTAGCTGGGAAAATTTGATTACCGTATTATGGTTTATCTCTTTGTCAGTCACCAGATTTTTATTGCATGCCTGTTTTGTACTCAGTGTCATCCATATATAAGAATAAGAAATGACTCCCACCCTCAAGATGCTTGTGAGGAGGTGTTAAAAGTAATGTACTTAAAGCTCTACAGCAGTGTATACAGAGTACCTTGGAGACATTGAAGGTTCAGTTCCAGACCACCACAATAAAGTGAATATCTCAATAAAGCAAATCACACAAATTTTTTTGTTTCCCAGTGCATGTAAAATTTATGTTTACACTATATTGTAGCCTGTTAAGTGTACAATAGCATTATGTCTAACAAAATGTACACACCTTAATTTAAAAAATACTTTATTTCTAAAAATTGCTAACCATCATCTGAGCCTTCAATGAGTCATAATATTTTTGCTGGTGGGGGGTCTTTCCTCGATGTTGACGGCACTGAGGGATCAAGGTGGTGGTTGCTGAAGAGTGGGGTGGCTATGGCAATTTTAAAAAATAAGACAATGAAGTTTGCTATAATGATTGACTTTTCCATTCTCAAACAATTTCTCTGGGGCATGCAATGCTGGTGATAGCATTTTACCCACAGTAGAACTTCTTTCAAAACTGGAGTCAGTCCTGTCAAATCCTGCCGCTGTTTTATCAACTAAGTTTATGTAATAGCCTAAATCCTTTGTTGTCATTTCAATAGTCTTCACAGCATCTTCACCAGGAGTAGATTCCATCTCAAGAAACCACTTTCTTTGCTCAGCCATAAGAAGCAACTCCTCATCCATTAAAATCCATTAAGTGAGATTATAGCAATTCAGTCACATCTTCAGGCTCCACTTCTAATTCTAGTTCTCTTGCTATTTCTACCACATCTGTAGTTACTTCCTCTACTGAAGTCTTGAACCCCTCAAAGTCATTCATGAGGGTTGGAATCAGCTTCTTCCAAAACTCCTGTTAATGTTGATATTTTGATCTCTTCTCCTGAATCACGAATGTTCTTAATGGCATCTAGAGTGGTGAATCCTTTCCAACAGGTTTTCAGTGGTCTTTACCCAGGTCTATCAGAGGAATCACTATATCTATGGCAGCTATGGCCTTACAAAATGTTATTTCTTAAATAATAAGACTTAAGGGGCTTCCTTGGTGGTGCAGTGGTTGAGAGTCCACCTGCTGATGCAGGGGACACGGGTTCGTGCCCTGGTCCGGGAAGATCCCACATGCCACGGAGTGGCTGGGCCCGTGAGCCATGGCCGCTGAGCCTGCGCGTCCGGAGCCTGTGTTCCGCAACAGGAGAGGCCACAACAGTGAGAGGCCCGCGTACCGCAAAAAAAAAAAAAAAAGTGACACAGAGACATGGAGTGAGTCAATGCTCTTAGAAAAATGGCGCCAGTACACTTGCTTGACACAGCGTTGCCATAAACCTTCAATTTGTAAAACATGCAATTTCTGCAAAGCGCAGTAAAAGCACAATAAAATGAGATACGCTTGTATATTAAATTGCTAATTGTATAGCCACATATACATAATATTCATATGTATAAGTGCTAAAGAGGTTTAATCAAAAGTGAGTTTACTGAGGATTTAAATAGTCAGATATGGCATCACATATTAAGACAAGTCTTGAACAGAGTTCTTGCAATGCAATTTATAGCAAATGTATAGGTATAATATTATAACTACTGTACAGAAGAATCTGGTGGAAATAATCTAATGACCACAACATAACAGTGATTTAAGAGCACTGATTTCTAGTCTTTTTAAAATTCACACATCAATAAAATTAAATTTGGAGACTGACCAAGTCACCAATTTATTTTACCAAGTAAAAACCTTAAAAAAGAAATATCTCCATCTGCTTTCACTATCGTTTTATTTTTAAAATGACATTTGGTACTAAAAGAAAAGGAAGAACATAATTTCAGACTTTCTAAATTAATACATTTACCTTTATGAGAAACTGGCTCCCATCCTTTTCTTGTTTTCTTATTGCTGCGGGCCAGTGAGAACATCTTCATATTTGGGAATCACTGATTCAGAGCATACTCTCTGTGATGCAACTTTCACAGTGATACGTCCACATAGCTATATTTTAATGAAACTTGAAATGTGTTTTTAATATTCACTTCTTACTGTAATATAAGAGTAATATTTTTAACAATTGGCAGATTTTTTTGGCTCTTTTAGATCTTTTTACATACTCAGCTTCCATTGAAATGATAGACTCTTACCCATAACTTACACGTTTACTAGGGAGTCATGTATCTAGAAATATATTCATCTGGGGGAATCAGACCAGTTACACTAATTAGGATTCTGATATTGGAAGCAGGCAATCAAATTAAGGCTAATAAAATTGAGGAAATATTTGCAGAAGGGATATGTCATTGTAAAAAATTTTTTGGTTTTTTGAAAGATTTGTCTTGAAAGGATAACTGTTCTCTGCCCCTTTTCCCCCTTTGGTTCTACAGAGACCTCATGATTCTGTGCTCCACTTCTAGCAACATGATAAGACCAATTATGCACTGAGCTAAAAGTACAGCCAGGAAAAAACTGAAGTTGTGGGAGGTTTTGCTATATGCTTAAATTTGGAAATTTTTCTTTCAACATATATTTACAGAAACATCATATAGCAAAATAAAACCTGTGTAATAAATCAACAATATTCAGTTCATGCCACAAAAATTATTTCCTTAAGCACATTTCACAATCTTCTAAACATAGGTTGATGTGGTTAAAAACTTAGAAAGGACTGTGATTACTTAAGATCGGTTTTCATGTTTGTTGAAACTTTGCTCATATTTTCTTTTTCCTTTAAGAAAATAAAAATAAACATGCCATAACATAGAGTTCCCAAATCTTGAAAATTTGCTCAGTATTTAACATGAATGTGTCATTTCTGTTAGAAGGTCAGTAAAGCATAGTGGTTAAGAGTATGGATGCTGGAGCCAAGTTTCCTGGATTACAAATCCTGATTCTGCTGCCTGGGTGACCTTGGGCAAGTGAACCTCTTTGTGCCATCTTAGTTGCCCTATCAAATGAATGGGGGTAATAAAAATACCTACTTCATAGGGTTGGTATGAGGATTAATGTGTTGTTATATGGTCAGCACTTAGAACAGTGCTTGGTTTTAGTAAAGTGTTCAAAATTAGCTAATTTTATTATAAATTCTAGGTATATGTATATATATTATATATACATTACATATTATATTAATATATATTATATATTATAATAATACATATTATTATAGTATAATAATATATATTATATATACATACACACTAATGAAAATTTATAATTCACTAAGTTCTTAGAAAACGTATTTGTTTTAGCTTAATTTGGAAAAAATCTAGTATATTATTTTAAAATTATGTTAATAATAGGATTTTGCTGTTTTTTAAATGAGGAGAAAAGTAGTCTGCAGAGTTATTATAAGGATTAGAATTTATATATATAAAGAACCTAGCATGGTATTGTTACTAATTTACTTATTTATAATAAGAAACTTTAAACAATGTCTTAATTTTAAAAATATATAAAGAATAAAATTCTTAGCACATTTGAGTTCTAGATGTGATCGTTTTCTATTTTTTTTTTAATTTCTTTATTTTTTTTGGCCGCGTCGGGTCTTAGTTGTGGCATGTGAGGTCTTTGTTGAGGCATGCGGGCTCTTCATTGTGGCACACAGGCTTCTCTGTAGTTGTGGCGTGCGGGTTTTCTCTCTCTAGTTGTGGCTCACGGGCTCCAGCGCACATGGGCTCTATAGTTGTGGCGTGCAGGCTCTGTAGTTTGTGGCACATGGGCTCTCTTGTTGAGGCGGACAAGCTCAGTAGTTGCGGCACACTGGCTTAGTTGCCCAGCGGCGTGTGGGATCTTAGTTTCCCTACCAGGGATTGAACCCCTGTCCCCTGCATTGGAAGGTGGATTCTTTACCATTGGACCACGGGGGAAGTCCCTCTATATTATTGATTGAACTAAACAATTTAAGTATTTGATTTTCCTGTTTCCTATAGGTATTTTGGAACCATTTTCTCTAAAATCTTTCTGTTAACACTAATAACATTTAATCTATCTTAATAGTAATAGTTTGAAGGTAATGATGTTCTTTATATCAGTGAATTTTCAAATGATGGTGATCTTTAAAATGCTGTTGCAAAAGAAAGCTTTGAATAGTAATATATGTGAAAGATCTTTGTAAACTGTAAAATCCTCTATAAATGTTAACTCTTCCATTTTGCAGGAGAAGTGAAGGTTTTTAATTGAAGAGCTTTTCTGACATTAAATTAAATAATATAACTTAACATGTAATGGTCTGAGTACACAGTTGTAGAAGAACATAAACAATGATTTTGAGTCTTAAGTCATTGAGAAAAATTAATGAGGAAGATTGGGATAATGAAAAGATATCTAATATTGTTATTAATAAAGACAGAATGTTTGAAAAACATTTATAAGCTATAACAGTTTTGTCAAATGTTCTTTGCTTTTAGTCAGTGTAACTAGTTAAGACAATTTGGAGACCTTAGCAGACTTAAAACTATAATATCTATTTATGCTTAGTGTCTAATATCTGTGATTTAATGGAATCCCAGTCATCCTTCTGATGTGACCATTAGAAAACATTTCTGTAATGTAATGTTTGTATTGACCTTTGGCAATTTTTGAGTCTGGTTAAAATGATTTTGTTTGACATGTTTTTAAAAGAAAACAGAAGTGAGACTCAGATGACTAAGGTTCAGATTCTAGCTTTCCTCCTGTGTGACCTGTGCAAATCACTTAACTCTTTGAGTTTCAATTTGTTCTTCAATTTTTCTATTGGATCAGATGATCTACTAGTTCCATATACTCTAAAACAAAAGTCAGAAAGCATTATCTGTCTCAGGCTGTTTGAAAACTTATTAATTTATATAAGTCATGTCAAGGATGAAAAACAAAATCATATATTTATTTGCTTAACAGATCATTGGGAAAATTAAAATTACATTATTATTAGGGATTATCCTGGAAAGCCCAGGTTATAGTCATCTGTAGTCCTTCCTAGTTCCGAAATTCTATATCCTATATATTTTCATTTGTTGCTTTAAATATTGTAGACTCCAATGGAAATACCATAGATGTAGACAATTTGTTCTGAATGACTTCCTTATTTGCTGTGTTTCTTAATACTGTTTGTATCATGATATTTATTTGCTTAGTAAATTGTAAAATGATATGGGAGAGGCAAGCTTGATTAAAACATTCATTCTCAACTCCTTTAGAAGATAAAACAAGTAGTTGATTTATCAGAGAACCACTCTTGTGTGTTTATGACTGTTCAATGGTGGTGGTGTTCAGTTCACATACACAGGATGATAAAAGAAGCCAAGTAAGTACTCAGTTTTTATTTTTCTATGTGCTGTTGGTTTTGCTTGGCCATATTTGATCACTGTTTAGAATTTTTAGTTACAACAATGTTTCTTTATACTGTCTATGATATTTATTTACTTACTTACTCATTCTAGGGCCATGATCAGAGTTCAACTCTTGCTCAGCACTCTGTTGAACTGACTTTACCTAATCATCATCCATTTCATAGAGACTTGCTCCGATATGCCAAGCTGATGGAGTGGCTAAAGAGTACTGATTATGGAAAATATGAGGGACTAACAAAGGTATGGATTTGATGCCAGTTACTGAGTATAGAGCATAATCTTTTAGAATCAAGAGGCCATGTGTTCAGTTCCCCAGGTGACATTTGAAATACTATTGTATATTCTTGGCAAAGTAGGAAATAATTGAATTTCTAAGTGCTCATTAGCCAGGGAGAACATTTATTTTATTTACTTGGGTGGAGAAGAGCTAGATTTTGAACTTCCAATATAATGTAGTTTTAGGCCATGCTGTAGCCTGAAGCATCATTCAGTTTAGTTAAATGCTATAATTATTTCCTGAGTTTCTTTATATACAATATAGAAACTAGGGAGTATGAAGATGCTGTGAGACATTTGCCCTCTAAGAATCTGTAATCTGTTCTTTTAAGCAAGTGCAGTGTGCCTCTTAAGCAAACATTCCACTCTTCTAGGCACACAGAAACATGGTATTTCTATTCCTGGTTGTGGGACAACTGGGAAGAGCAATTATAATTAAAACAATCAGCGAAAAATTAAGTGCTAAACTGGAAATGAGTTTAAATATGTGGCAGTTTAGAGAAGGGAAATCCATGAACGGAAGCCACGGGGGAAAACTTAATGGAAAACATTGGACTTGAATTGACTTTTAAGTAATGAGTGGAATTAAATTAGCCAGAAATAAGAGGAAGGGCATTCCAGGGATGAGGAGCAAGATGTGCAGACAAAAGTGGGAAAATATGCCCTTTTCCCAGGACTGTAAGAAAGCAAGCCTGATTAAAGCAGAAATTCCGTATTCTGGAAGAGTGAGAAGTTAGGTTAAAGAATCTGAGCCTTGAGACCTAACAGCATTCTTCACACATGGGAAAAGCCTAGATGGGGGAAACTAATTTAGAACTTAATGTAATAACTGAAATGAAATGAAATCTTGAACCAGAAAGATGATAATAGGAATAGAGAATATAAACAAAAAGAGAGAGAATCCAAAGACAAGGGACGGGATGATGCCAGACTTGCTAGACTTGGAGATTAGAAGAACAGTGGTATATACCACTGACTAAATATCAGCAAGTGGACAAGATAAGAGTCATTCATATATTCATTAAGCAAATGAATTGAGCACCTGTTATGTGCTAACACTGTGGTAAGCTCTAGAGATGCAGCGCTGAAGGAAGTAGGTGAACACTTGCCTGTTCAGAGTGCATATGCCGGTGGAGAAGGACTGACACAAAGGTCAGTTGTATAGCCTGTTGGAAGGTACTGCTGAGGACTCTAGAGAAAATAAAGCAGGGAATGCCAGGACGTCAGAAATGTTTGCAGTTTCAAAAAGGATGGTCAGAGAAGGTGTCATGAGAAGGTGACATTTGAGCACAGATTTTAAAAACAAGGAGGGGTGAGCAGCGGGAGTTTCTAGGGAAAGCTTTCCCGGCACAGTGCAAGTGCCCCAAGGCAAGAGCAGCCTGGAGCACTTGAGGAGCGTGAGGAGGCCAGTGTAGTTGGAGCACAGCGAGCCAGGTTCAGGATTAGAAGGGCAGGTGGGAGAGGTAAGGTGGGTGTGGCAGGGCAGATCTGGAAGAGACTGTGCACCATTGTAAGAATTTGGCTTTTACTTTGAGGGAGATGGGGGAGTGGTGTTGGTGGGCTTTGAGTAGTGGAATGACACGATCTGACTTAGATACATGGCCATCGTAGCAGGAACCCATGGGTTCAGTACTCTACTGTTGTGTGTTGTTTTGTTTTGTTTTGATTCAGCAGAATTCTGATTTGTAGATAGCTTAAAGAAAAATATTTGCATTACTGGAATCTTTGCCTTTTGAAGTTGTAAGAGGATTAATATTTTGGATAATTAAACATGGTTACATCTCCTTAAGAGTTTTGTGCCAACAAGTGCTTTGTCCCCTAGTGAGTATTCAAATGAGTAAAATACTCAGTAAGCTTTTTTGCCTAATTGTGTTCTCAGTGAGTATTATTGCCCTATCTTTATATATAATGTATTTATGAATGTAATTTAAAGTGAAGAAACATGACGATAGCCAATCTAGCACTGAATTATGGAATCATTTTCTGCTCACAGAATATTTTTAACTGACAATATTAATGTGATTTTTTAAATGAAATTGACTTATTTCCCAGGAATATTACTTGATCCTGTGTTCTGAACTTTTGACAGACCATGTATTTTATGCCTCATAATCTAATTTGGTAGCTGAAGTGTTTTCCTAAACAGGATTTTATTAAAAAGAAAGAAGAAAGGAATGAAAGAAGGAAACAGACTAAACCAGTGTTTCTTTAGTAAGAAATAATTAAATCCAGGTACTATTTGCACTTGGTTGGGTGTACACAGCTCACACTTTCTGGCAGGACCAGGAAATGCCTGTTTTAAATTCTTGAGGGATAAGAATCACTAGACCCTGCCCCAACTCTACTTATGGCTGAATCTAAGCAAAACCCTGATTTTTGGTATACATAATTAGAGCTTAAGGAAAATAGAGGTGCCTTGGTCATGTAATGAGCCCTGCTGTCAGAGTCCTTCCTCCAATGGTGGCTCTGGGTTATGCATGTAGGGCAATTCATAATGGAGATGGTCCATCCATGCTTAGGTAGGAAATGAGCTTTCCTCTCCTAATTAGCCCCCTGAGGTTGGCAGTCAGTCTTGAAGATTACTCAGACATCTTCTCTTAACCTCAGTTTTACATTTGTGGAATTTTCTTTTTGTGTAAAGAGAAAGTAAAACACGGAGTTATCTGTAAGGCTCTACAGTCAGCACAAAATAAAGTTGAAAACACTACCTGAAATAACAGTATTTATACTCATAATAGTTAAATTTTAAGTAAGGTGCTGTATACAAGGTGCTAAGAAGAATACGTACTCACAGTGAGAGATATCTGTCAGAATTTGGTAAATGAATGAACTGAGAGTCACACCTGTCTGTGGACTTTCCCACCAGTGAATTCTGTTGAGGACCTGGGGGAAGCTATTCAGTCATTTGAATTGCTTTGAAAACGAAGATGATTTTCAGTAGTCTGCTCAAATCACTGTTTTCAAAATACCAAAATAGCTGTTTTGAAACTGTTTAAATTGCTTGGGTCATAATTTGCTCTTTAAACAATTGGGGTATTGGAATGCAGTCTGTAATATTGAGTGATTTGAGTAGAAACCACTAATGAAGATTTTATGAATTGTAAGAAGCTAATTTCCCATTTGTCGGTCCTTTTCAATGATTTGCAGTGATCAATATTTTTATGAGAATTTAAACTTGAAAAAATGAGATGCTGAAAATGTGAAACAGCCCAATGAAATAGGAATAATTTTAGGGTATATTTTAATTTATATTTCCGTTTAAAGTTACACAAAGATCACGGGAAAGAATTTCCTGTTTGACTAATTTTCTTACAGAGACTGTGTGAGAATGTATATGGCCTACAGATAGACAAAAGCAGGATCTATATTATGTTTTATCCAAAAATTGTTTTATAAGGATATATCTATAAAATATCTAAAAAAAATCAGTGGTGGACTATGAATCAGTATACAAATATTTAAATAATGTATACCTTTGAAAGGTGCATCTGATGTTTAAAGCAAAGTAAACCTGCTCTAAAACTGGGTATGTTAATTTGAAATAATAAAGGAAGTTGAAGTGTAGATTCCATAATAAATTTAAAAGAATAGCTAGGTACAACAGTTTTTCTGCTGTAGATTTATTTAAATTTAGTGAAACTCTACATATGGCATTTAACATAGGACTTGGAAAAATACATGGTCTCCCACTGTTGAAGAGTCTTTCGTAAGGGTATAAGATGTTTTTATGTGATGATAAGCAAATATGATGAAGAAATGAGTTTTCATGTTAAATAATAATTTTTTTATTTGAACTAGAATAAATTAAATTTGCTTTTTTAAAAATAAATTATTTAATTATGAAAACTGTAAGATGTATTAATTAAATTCTTGTTGAAAGTAACCTATTTGGGGGTAATGTAATACCCCATGCTGGCAAGGTATGGTAAAACTCTGTACTCCTTCATTGCCATTGACACTGTCTATTGGTATAATTGTTTTTAAAGCAACATGGCAGTATGGAGGAAGAGTTATAAAGATTCCCTTATTCTTTGGCACTGTAATTCCACCCTTAGGAAATGATTCCAAGGAAACAATTCATTAGAGATGAAAAGCTTATTGTAACATTGTCTATCATAGCAAAACATTGAAACCACTTAAGTGGCCTGTGTTAGGAGATTGGTTTACTAAATTGTGGCACATCAACAAAGCGTAATACTGTGCAGTCATTAGAATGTGAGACTGGAGAAACATAATTGCTGTAACCCAAATACCCTATACAGTATGATTGCAATTATATTTAAAGTATGTGAAAGGTAATACGTAAAAATGAAAATGTAAGTGTGGTTATGTTCAACTTCATATTTTTGTAAATTCTTAATGTTATGTGTTTAACTTTTTTAAAGGACAGAAAATAGCCTTCTTTTTATATCCTATGAAATGCATCAAAATTTTAAGAGCACATGTAAAGAAAAAAACGTAGGGACACCAAGTGGGGAAAGCTGGGATGCGGGGGGGTGGGGGGGTTGATGAATTGGGAGATCAGGATTGACATATATACGCTAATATGTATTACTAAGAACCTGCTGTATTAAAAAAAATAAAATAAAATTCAAAAAAAAATTTTAAGACCACAAAATTCAGAACAAGCACAAAGGACTTGGTGGTGGTGGGGGCGGTGGAAAATGGAAATTGTTACATTTGTTTTATTAATAAGAAGTACGTGTTACTTTTCTTTTTAAGAATTACATGGATTATTTATCACGACTCTATGAGAGAGAAATTAAAGATTTCTTTGAAGTTGCAAAGATCAAGATGACTGGCACAACTAAAGAAAGCAAGAAGTTTGGTAAGCTTAGGCACCTCAGTCCCTTGTTTTCTATTCTATTAAAAATGGTTTTATTTTTATTTATGACAAATAATTCTGAGACTTTTTAGGCAAGGTGGAAGGAGATACAGTAAAATTAATGAAAGAGTAAATCTAATGCATTGGTTTAATTTATAGGTATTTCATAGAAAAAATATTTATGTCTGTAAATACGTTTTTTTACTAATTAAAATTCTGCAATATGTGAATCTGACAGCAATTGTGTATTCATGCTATGTTTAAAAGTACAATTAGCCTCATATCCGCAGCTGTGCAACCCATAGATATGGACCACCTATGGGACTTGAGCATCCATGGATTTTGATATCCACGACGGGTGCTGGAACCAATCCTGCACAGTAACCGAGGGATAACTGTGTATATTCATAGGAGAAGCAGTTGACCAGAAAACGAAGTGCAGTCTGGTAGAGAAAAGAACTAAACTAAGAGACACATATTGAAAGTTCAGTTTCTGATTTCCTAAAAGACCTTTCATAACAGTTGGAGGCAAGTCTGTGATCTCTTAAGTCATTGCTCTCCACAGGGAAGTGAAAGTGATTCCTGGCTTCTTACTTCTCACTGGCTATTTTGAATCAAAAAGAAGGTTTTAAGTGTTTTCTCCCCTGCCAAGGGGCTATAAAAATGTCACCAAAATTTCTCCTGTAATTATACATTATTTTTCCAAAGAGATATTTTTGAAACAAGTTGGTTTTTGTTGCTTCTAAATATGTTAAAACAATCAAAAATATGATTTAAAAGGATAACCAGTGAAAGTATCAAGTTGCGAGGAAGTGATTTGCCGAGGCCACATTCTGCTCTTGCATGTACCCATCTCTGGACTTCCTTTTGGATGGAGTTCTGTGCCTACTCAAGTCAAAACCTGGCCTTAAATGGCTACAGTGTGTACTCAGTGTGTCTGCATAGCTCCCCTTTAGAACCATGAGTTTAGCATTTGCTTGTTGAAAGGAGCCTATGCCCTAAGCAACTTCCGTAATCAGGAGATAGGATTGAAATTGATAGCTCATCTTTCCATTCTTTTCTTTAAGACAAAGAAGACTATCTTTAGTAGGTAATTATTTCGTGTGAATCACACTGATTTGTGGTTGGTTTTTTTTTTGCGGTATGCGGGCCTCTCACTGTTGTGGCCTCTCCTGTTGTGGAGCACAGGCTCCGGATGCGCAGGCTCAGCGGCCATGGTTCACGGGCCTAGCCACTCCACGGCATGTGGATCTTCCCGGACTGGGGAACGAACCCATGTCCCCTGCATCGGCAGGCGGACTCTCAACCACTGCGCCACCAGGGAAGCCCTGTGGTTGTTGTTTTTTAAATCCAACACTAATATATTGATGATACTAGTCCAGATTTTTTAAATGGTTTGAATCTGTGTACAAATGCATTGATTACACTTGGTAAAGACACTGATAAGAATCTTGGGACAATAGGCTTTTGGAAACAGAAATGCTAACTCATCCTAAAGGTTAATTGTTCTTAAAAAGCAGTGTGTTTATATCCTTGTTAATGTTTCACCATGGGTATGTTATACTTTTTTTTTTTAGTAAATGACATATTAATACAGTTACATGTTTAATGTTTTCATTTAGTATATTTGTCACCACTTGTTAGTGAACCATTTTATTTTGAGAGAACTCTTCTACAGTGAAAACTGAAGTAAAAGAGAAATCTTTCTAAAATTATCTCCTCAGGAGGTTATTAATGCCGATATCATAATAGTTTATCAAGCCTAAGATTCTCATTGAGATAAATGACATAATAGAAATCTAATTTAAATCAAGTACAGTAGTATCTTAACGGTATCATTGCATTAACCTGAAATGTTACATTTTTACTTTTCTTACCCCTTGAGAAGTTCTTTAATTATCTTGTTAAAAAATTTTTTAAATTAACCTAATACAAGATACAGAAGATACTTTTACAGTTTTAAAACAGTGTTAAAATTATATCTCTTCTATGTATCTATTAAATAATAAAGAATAGGAGAGTAATTTGTAACAGTTGATGTAATCAAAAAAATTATAGTTTCTATTACTTTGATATTATCAGTTACAAGAGAAGAAAAACTAAATAATAAACAATTCAGAAGATAAAAACGGTTTTGTTCATCTTTGAAGATCTAACTTGTTAGTCAACATTTAAAAATAAATTTCCAGTTAAATACAAATGGCTTAAGAAGTTCTTAAATAGGTAGAATGTGAACTTTCTAAAGGTATCTTTTCAGTGATATAAATTATGTTTAAATTAGTTTTTAGTAGTAATTATAATTAAAAGGAACATCTAAAACTTTGGGAAGATAACTTCAATGAATTAAAATTAAGTAATTATGAGTAAAATTTTAATTTGTTTTGTTTTTGACTTGCTGTGAAAATGCTGGGTCACAGATACTAATAAAAGTAGGAAGTCAGATTGAATGTGTTTTACAAAAGGAAATTGTGTAGTCAGTATACTCATGGAGATTCAGGGGAATTCTCTCTTTTTCAATCAATCTTGACTCAAGTCTTTAACATCTACTTAGTTCAAATAATTTAAAATAATGTTAAAATGCCAGTAAAGTACTTTTTCTTTATGATAAGGACTTTTTGTAGGTCTGCCTTTTTTGATCTGTAGGTTTACTTTGATATCCTCAAAGGTGAATTTTCCCCCCAAGATTGATACTTGGGTGTTTTGTTTTCCCTTTGTAGTCTACAGATATACTTAATGAAAAGTCAGGAAAATGAAATTTAGTAATTATTTTTTAATTTGCTTGTTTTTTTTTCTTTCTGCAGCTGAAATAGACACAGATACATATATTACTTAAGCCCATTGACATATACATTTACATAATTACTTCCTCATATTTATAATCCAAAATTTAAAATTGATACGCCTGAAACATTTTTTCATTGTTTCTCCACTAAATTAAGAAATCTTGTTGATTCCAAAGGGAGTCTTGAATGAAAGACCGAATTTAGTCCTGACTGGAAGATTCATTCAATAAATGTTTATTAATTACCTGTTATGTAATAAGCACTGCTAGGTACTGAGAATCCAGCAATGAGCAAAGACCCTACCCTCTTGAAGCTTATAGTCTAGCAGGAATTATTTAAAGATATTTAAAAGTTTACCAGCATATTGTTGCTTGTTGGTGATAATATACAGTTTTTATGAGCCCCAAATGGGGCGCTACTAGTAACTCTGTATTCTTTATTGACTACTAAAATATGTATGTGTGTGTGTATATATAAAGCATTAGGCTTTGCTCTGGAATTGGTGAACTTAGTAGAGTGACAACTTAAGGCCACCAGAAGGTACTATTCAGGATGGTCAACTAGTAGCTCCAGCACATCCCTCCTTGCTTGCCACTTTAATGTCCAGCCTTATTGTTTCATATTCCCTTGAGCTTCGGGTAGCCAAGGCTGGGAACATTCACATGTCTCTGGTGTGGCAAGTCAGTAGTTCATACTTGGGATTTTGCCTTGAAGTTTGGCAGGAATAGTGACAGTTGACACATTTTCTATTTTTTAAATATTTCTAGATTAGAGTTATATTCTTTAATTTTCTGTTTCATTCTGTAATTTCTTTCTTTGCCTTTCAAATTAACTTCTAATTTGGGTTTAGAATGTTTCACAAGATGATCTCTACAATTGATCTAATAAATATTAGAGAGAGATTTTAGATAAAAGACCCTAAAAGAGCTCCAGTTCCTCCATTAAACCTGTTCCCTCAGCTTTACCCTTCCATCTACCCATCTCCTAATAATTAGTATTTTTATACATACCTTTCATTCTAGGTGTTCACAAAGCCAGTTTAAGTTTCTTAGTAGTTCAGGTTGTTATTCTAAAATGGTTTTAAAGCCCCACTCGTATAATGTTCTGTCAGATGGAGTGTACAATTATTTAGTACAGTGGAGATTCCTTTCAGGAGCTTTCAGTGAATACAAGAGTGTTAATGCATTTAAAGTCTAAATCTACAACTTCATTCTGATAAATTTTCACTGTATTAAATTATTTACTTGAACTCTGTTTTCTTCAGAAAACAATACTTGCAAATATAGTCTTTAAATTTAAGTACATCAGCTCAATAAACTTAAAAAAAATCCTTTAAAAGTGTGGGGGGGGAGGCTTACAGATGTAGATATTTTTACCTGAATATTTGCATAAAACAGTACATTAAAAGACTAGTAAAGTTTTTTCTCTCATAATTTTTCAAACAATAGCTGACCAACTAAACATACGTTGCATCTCTCGTTACTTGATGCTCATGGTTCTTTGCATGTGTCTTTAAAACTAGAGCTTTAACTTCCTCTTGTGCATGGTTTGTGCAAATTGCAGTTTATTAACTTGTCTTTGTCTTTGATGCTTGCAACCTAATCCATCACAGCTACACTGCCTCGAAAAGAAAGTGCTGTCAAACAGGAAACAGAGAGTGAGTATGCTTAGTGTATTAGTAGGTATTCTCAATGCATGTTTGTTTGTCTAGAAATTAGTTATTTTTCTTGAAAAAAGTTACACCAAAAATACTGATTTCTCTGAGTTGCCAGGTATTGGTGAAAGAAAAACAACATAATGTTAGTGGTATGACTACATCCAAGAAATACATAATATAGTTAAAAATATTTGGTGGGTAGTCAGAAATTTATAAAAAGTCTTAACCATTATACTTTTGTTTTCAGGCTGTGTTTAGAAACTATAAAAATTCTTGTAGGTATGGTCAGATTTTGCATAATGAAACCAAAGTTTATCTCTAATTGTCCTTATACGTTTTTATCACTTATTATATCATTTGTCCCTCCTGACCATAAGCAGATAATGCAGGTTAGCTGAGAAATATTCAAGAAGAATAAAATGTTTTCATTGTTTAAATTTAATTCTAGTAAAAACATCACATTTTCTTGTAAATGGAATATTTTAATTCTTTTATGTATGTAGGATATTGTCCAGACATATTGTTATCATTTTTCCCCATGGCTACGATAGATACCTTTCTTTATACCTAAACTCACATGTCCCATATTAATATAGTTAACGATGGAGGAAACCTGCACAAGCCTCTTAGATAGCCTCATCCACCAGAGGAGAGACAGCAGAAGCAAGAAGAACTACAGTCCTGCAGCCTGTGAAACAAAAACCACATTCACAGAAAGATAGACAAGATGAAAAGGCAGAGGGCTATGTATCAGATAAAGGAACAAGATAAAAGCCCAGAAAAACAACTAAATGAAGTGGAGAGAGGAAACCTTCCAGAAAAAGAATTCAGAATAATGATAGTGAAGATAAACCAGGACCTCGGAAAAAGAATGGAGGCAAAGATCGAGAAGATGCAAGAAGTGTTTAACAAAGATGTAGAAGAATTAAAGAACAAACAGAGATGAACAATACAATAAATGAAATGAAAACTACACTAGAAGGAATCAATAGCAGAATAACTGAGGCAGAAGAACGGATAAGTGACCTGGAAGACAGAATGGTGGAATTCACTGCTGCAGAACAGAATAAAGAAAAAAGAATGAAAAGAAATGAAGACAGCCTAAGAGACCTGTGGGACAATATTAAACACAACAACATTCGCATTACAGGGGTCCCAGAAGGAGAAGAGAGAAAGGACCCGAGAAAATATTTGAAGAGATTATCGTCGAAAACTTCCCTAACGTGGGAAAGGAAATAGCCACCCAAGTCCAGGAACTACAGCAAGTCCCACATAGGATAAACCAAAGGAGGAACATGCTGAGACACATAGTACTCAAATTGGCAAAAATTAAAGACAAAGAAAAATTATTGAAAGCAGCAAGGGAAAAATGACAAATCACATACAAGGGAACTCCCATAAGGTTAACAGCTGATTTCTCAGCAGAAACTCTACAAGCCAGAAGGGAGTGGCCTGATATACTTAAAGTGATGAAAGGGAAGACTCTGCAACCAAGATTACTCTACCCAACAAGGATCTCATTCAGATTCGATGGAGAAATCAAAAGCTTTACAGACACACAAAAGCTAAGAGAATTCAGTACCACCAAACCAGCTATATAGCAAACGCTAAAAGAACTTCTCTAAGTGGGAAACACAAGAAAAGAAAAGGACCTACAAAAACAAACCCAAAACAGTTCAGAAAATGGTCATAGGAACATACATATCGATAATTACCTTAAACGTGAATGGATTAAATGCTCCAACCAAAAGACACAGGCTTGCTGAATGGATACAAAAACAAGACCCATATATATACTGTCTACAAGAGACCCACTTCAGACCTAGGGACACATGCAGACTGAAAGTGAGGGGATGGAAAAAGATATTCCATGCAAATGGAAATCAAAAGAAAGCTGGAGTAGCAATACTCATATCTGATAAAACAGATTTTAAAGAATGTTACAAGAGACAAGGAAGGACACTACACAATGATCAAGGGGTCAATCCAAGAAGAAGATGTAACACTATAAATATATATGCACCCAACGTAGGAGCACCTCAATACATAAGGCAACTACGAACAGCTGTAAAAGAGGAAATCGACAGTAACACAATAATAGTGGGGGACTTTAGCACCTCACGTACACCAATGGACAGATCATCCAAAATGAAAATAAATAAGGAAACAAAAGCTTTAAATGACACAGTAGACCAGATAGATTTAATTGATTTTTATAGGGCATTCCATCCAAAACAGCAGATTACACTTTCTTCTCAAGTGCGTACGGAACATTCTCTGGGATAGATCACATCTTGGGTCACAAATCAAGCCTCAGTAAATTTAAGAAAATTGAAATCATGTGAAGCATCTTTTCTGACCACAACGCTATGAGATTAGAAATGAATTACAGAGGAAGAAACGTGAAAAACACATGGAGGCTAAACACTAAGTTACTAAATAACCAAGAGATCACTGAAGAAATCAAAGAGGAAATCAAAAAATACCTAGACGCAAATGACAATAAAAACATGATGATTCAAAACAATGGGATGCAGCAAAAGCAGTTCTAAGAGGCAAGTTTATAGCTATACACGCATACCTCAAATAAATAATGTAAAAATAAACAATGTAACCTTAAACCTAAAGGAACTAGAGAAAGAACAGCAAACAAAACCCAAACTTAGCAGAAGGAAAGAAATCATAAAGATCAGAGCAGAAATAAATGAAATAGAAACAAAACAATAGCAAAGATCAATAAAACTAGAAGCTGGTTCTTTGAGAAGATAAACAAAATTGATAAACCATTAGCCAGACTCAGCAAGAAAAAGAGGGAGAGGACTCAAATCAATAAAATTAGAAATGAAAAAGGAGAAGTTACAACAGACACCGCAGAAATACAACGCATCCTTAGAGACTACTACCAGCAACTCTATGCCAATAAACTGGACAACCTGGAAGAAATGGACAAATTCTTAGAAAGGTATAACCTTCCAAGACTGAACCAGGAAGAAACAGAAAATATGAACAGATCAACAAGTAATGGAATTGAAACTGTGATTAAAAATCTACCAACAAACAAAAGTCCAGGACCAGATGGCTTCACAGGTGAATTCTATCAAACATTTAGAGAAGAGCTAACACCCATCCTTCTCAAACTCTTCCACAAAATTGCAGAGGAAGGAGCACTCCCAAACTCATTCTGTGAGGCCACCATCACCCTGATACCAAAACCAGACAAAGATACTACAAAAAAAGAAAATTACAGACCAGTATCACTGACGAATATAGATGCAAAAATCCTCAACAAAATACTAGCAAACAGAATCCAGCAACACATTAAAAGTATCTTATAGGGCTTCCCTGGTGGCGCAGTGGTTGAGAGTCCGCCTGCCGATGCAGGGGACACGAGTTTGTGCCCATTCTGGGAAGATCCCACATGCCGCGGAGCACCTGGGCCTGTGAGCCATGGCTGCTGAGCCTGTGCGTCCGGAGCCTGTGCTCCGCGACGGGAGAGGCCACAGCAGTGAAAGGCCCGCGTACCACAAAAAAAAAAAAAAGAAAAGGATCATAAACCATGATCAAGTGGGATTTATTCCAGGGATGCAAGGATTCTTCAATATACGCAAATCAATCAGTGTGATACACCATATTAACAAATTGAAGAATAAAAACCATATGATGTCAATAGATGCAGAAAAAGCTTTTGACAAAATTCAACACCCATTTATGATAAAAACTCTCCACAAAGTGGGCATAGAGGGAACCTACCTCAACATAATAAAGGTCATATACAACAGACCCACAGCAAACATCATTCTCAATGGTGAAAAACTGAAAGCATTTCCTCTAAGATCAGGAAAAGACAAGGATGTCCACTCTCACCACTATTATTTAACATAGCTTTGGAAGTCCTAGCCATGGCAATCAGAGAAGAAAAAGAAATAAAAGGAATACAAATTGAAAAAGAAAAAGTAAAACTGTCACTGTTTGCAGATGACATGATACTATACATAGAGAATCCTAAACATGCCCCCAGAAAACTACCAGAGCTAATCAATGAATTTGATAAAGTTGCAGGATACAAAATTAATGCACAGAAATCTCTTGCATTCTTATACACTAATCATGAAAAATCTGAAAGAGAAATTAAGAAAACACTCCCATTTACCGTTGCAACAAAAACAATAAAATACCTAGGAATAAACCTTCCTAGGGAGGCAAAAACCTGTATGCAGAAAACTGTAAGACACTGATGAAAGAAATTAAGGATGATGCCAACAGATGGAGAGATATACCATGTTCTTGGATTGGAAGTTTCAATATTGTGAAAATGACTCTACTACCCAAAGCAATCTACAGATTCAATGCAATCCCTATCAAATTACCAATGGCATTTTTTACAGAACTAGAACAAAAAATCTTAACGTTTGTATAGAGACACAAAAGACACCAAATAGGCAAAGCAGTCTTCAGGGAAAAACACAAACTGGAGAAATCAGACTCCCTGACTTCAGACTAGACTACAAAGCTACAGTAATCAAAACAATATGGTACTGGCACAAAAACAGAAATTTAGATCAATGGCACGGGATAGAAAGCCCAGAGATAAACCCATGCACCTATGGTTAACTAATCTATGACAAAGGAGGCAAGGATATTCAATGAAGGGAAGACAGTCTCTTCAATAAGTGGTGCTGGGAAAACTGGACAGCTACATGTAAAAGAATGAAGTTAGAATACTCCCTAACACCATACACAAAAATAAACCCAAAATGGACTAAAGACCTAAACGTAAGACCGGACACTTATAAAACTCTTAGAGGAAAACATAGGAAGAACACTCCTTGACATAAATCACAGCAAGATCTTTTTTGATCCACCTCCTAGTGTAATGGAAATAAAAACAAAAGTAAACAAATGGGACCTAATGAAACTTCAAAGCTTTTGCACAGCAAAGGAAACCATAAACAAGACCAAAAGACAACCCTCAGAATGGGAGAAAATATTTGCAAACAAATCAACAGACAAAGGATTAATCTCCAAAATTTATAAACAGCTCATGCAGCTCAATATTAAAAAAACAAACAACCCAATCCCAAAATGGGCAGAAGACCTAAATAGACATTTCTCCAAAGAAGACATACAGCTGGCCAAGAAGCACATGAAAAGCTGCTCAGCATCACTAATCATTAGGGAAATGCAAATCTAAACTACAATGAGTTATCACCTCACACCAGTTAGAATGGGCATTATCAGAAAATCTGCAAACAAATGCTGGAGCAGGTGTGGAGAAAAGGGGACCCTTTTGCGCTGTTGATGGGAATATAAACGGATACAGCCACTATGGAGAACAGTGTGGAGGTTCCTTTAAAAAACTAAAAATAGAATTACCTTATGATCCAGCAATCCCACTACTGGGCATATACCCAGAGAAAACCATAATTCAAAAGGACACATGCACCCCAATGTTCATTGCAATAGCCAGGTCATGGAAGCAACCTAAATGCCCATCGAGAGACAAATGGATAAAGAAGATGTGGTACATATATTCCAATGGAATATTACTCAGCCATAAAAAGGAACGAAATTGGGTCATTTGTTGAGATGTGGATGGATCTAGAGACTGTCATACAGATTGAAGTAAGTCAGAAAGAGAGAAACAAATATTGTATATTAATGCATATATGTGGAACCTAGAAAAATGGTACAGATCCGGTTTGCAGGGCAGCAATTGAGACACAGATGTGGAGAACAAACGTATGGGCTCCAAGTGGGGAAAGCTGTGGCGGGGCAGGGGCGGGATGGTGGTGTGATGAATTGGGCAATTGGGATTGACATGTATACCCTGATGTGTATAAAATGGATGACTAATAAGAACCTGCTGTATAAAAAAATTAAATTAAAAAATTAAAATATATATCTATAGTTAATGATGTATGTATTATATTTTAGTTGTATTTTAAATATAACAAATTTTCAGGGTGTTGTTTTTTTTCTCTTCATTTTGTTTAGTTTTTAAAGAACTTTAATCAGTTCACTTACTGTAAAAGCAGAGTTTCTGGGTTCAGGAGTGTATTAAGTTGAATCGTGTGTAATTGACCTTTTTGGTAGGGCAAGATTAATTTGATATGGTTCCACCTAATGTGTTGATTTGATGTGGAGGTGAGTAATTTTGGGATATGGCAGGTTTTTTTGGAAATATAACTGTCATGTTAACTAGTACACTAGAGGGTCATTGACTTTCATCCATAGTCATGTCGTTTGAGTGGGAAAGAAATCCTCATCTACTTTAGTCTAGAGAAATCATCAGGCAGCTTAATCTTTATGGTGAGACTGGGCGGGGCATAATGTGATCTTTAAGATCTTGTTCAGTCCTATTCTGTGATTCTGTATAGTTTCACTACTCTTTACAGTATGTTCAGGAATAGGACACAAATGTTAATGAAAGAGAAGGACAGCCTACAATCTCTCCTCTGTGGTAGATTTGTGCCCTAACTAGTATGAGCCCCAGAAGACCAAGACAGTAGAAGATAGCCCTGATTTATGCTATGGATCTTTTATTCGTGAAGTTCACAACTTTTAAAGTTGTATTATTTCTTAGGTCTTCATGGAAGTTCCGGGAAATTAACTGGATCTACTTCTAGTCTAAATAAACTCAGTGTTCAGAGTTCAGGGAATCGCAGATCTCAGTCATCTTCCTTGTTGGATATGGGAAACATGTCAGCCTCTGATCTCGATGTTGCCGACAGAACCAAATTTGATAAGGTAAAATAAAATAACAAGTACTTCTTAAACATTACTATTAGTTTTCTAGCATCAGTTTGTTATTCCTTTAATTGTGTTCAAAGATTTGGGCTCCGTTGGCTCTTTTAATTAACCATATCTTACTTTACAGTTCTGAATCTGAAAAAAATAGTCACATGTCAACTGAAATGTGATTTATCAATTAAATGACATAACAGTTTTATTAAAGTTTGTTATAAATCATAAAGTGCTTGCAATCATAAATCCAGTTATTTGAGCAACTACAGAGTAAAGAGGAAATAGCTGTTATGAAGCTAAACTGTTCTCTGCAATGCATTAAATAAGTTTAAAAAGTTTATCTCGTAAAGCAATTATACTCCAATAAAGATGTTAAAAAAAAAAAGTTTATCTCTGTGTTCCTCTTTCCAGATTTTGAGTAAATAATTGTTGTGAGTTTTATTTTAAGTATGTTCTGGCCCTGTTATGCCTTGATAATACTGTATTGTTCTTTCAATCTTGAAAGTGTTTGTTTTGGGGATTCTATTGAGATTATAGATGAAGCATCCCTGGTCCCTGCAGAAAAGTAATTAAATGTGGAATGTTATTTTAAGCATTTTTGTTCAGTTCTTTGTAGGATCATTTTGGTTTTCTTCAGATCTTTGAACAGGTACTAAGTGAACTGGAGCCCCTGTGTCTGGCAGAACAGGACTTCATAAGTAAATTTTTCAAACTACAGCAACATCAAAGCATGCCTGGAACTATGGTATGGCTCACATTTATTTATTGGCTAGTATTTATGACCTGTAGCATAATTAGCCTAATTAATATATTGCCACAATTTCAATGTCAGAACAGAAAAAGACAAAATTTATAATTAAGGATTTTTAAAATACATTTTGTCATACAAGATACTAAAAACAATGATAGAGTTTGGGCATCTAATCTAATATTCCAGACTATTTTAGGCCTAAACATTGTCTAAATTAGTAAGGGGGGAGAATGTCTGAATTTACTTTGCAAAAAACTTTTTTTTTTTTTTGGCTGTGCTGTGTGGCATGCGGGATCTTCCTGGAACAGGGATGGAACCCAGGCCCCGTGCAGTGGAAGCGTGGAGTCCTAACCACTGGACTGCTAGGCAGTTCCCACAACAAAACATTATTTAAAAAACAGTTTTAGTAATCATCAAGAAAAAATAGGATTAAAAAAATAAAAAAGATGTTTGTGTATATATACCATGGTCTTTATAAAAAAGAAAGTAAGAAAGAAAAAAAATGTGGAGGCCTCAAATCTGAATCTTACGGCTTTGTTACTAACTAGCTATGAGTCCTTAAAGCAATTATTTAATCCCTGTTTTTCCTCATCTGTGCAATAGGTATAATAGTACCTATTCATCATGCCTCTCTGATGGCATAAGTGTAAGAAAGTAAAATGAGAGATTTGTAAGAATATTTTGAAGAACTTAAAAGCACAGTGCAAATTGAGTGAGTTTTTTTTTAGATTAAGGTCATCTTAAAAAAGAGAACCAACATATCAAAAGCAGGCCTAAAATGAATGACAAATTAATTATTTTAAATGGTTAGGGATTTGTTGTTGTAGGTGGTCCAGGTAGTTAATATGTTTACTTGTTAGCTTATGTAAGAACTTTCGATAGCATTTTTTAATACCAAAATTTTATTAAAATGATCATTGAGATTTCTTTAATTTTTAAAATTCTCTCTTGAAAGTTGTTTCTGGATGTTTTTGTTGAGCTGCCTTTCCATTCCCATGCTTCCTCTGAGCCTCCTCAACCTTCTCTCTCCTCCTTTCCCCTCATTGCACACACACAAACACAACTTCTCATGCCACAGTAATTCTAAGATAAAATCTAAGAACATAGCACTTCCTGAACATTCTTAAACAGCATCCTAAATTGTATAGTTTTGTCGGTAATACTGCCTTTAAAAATCATTATTTCTCATAATATATTCTCCTAGGAATTTTAAGACTGAGCAGGCTATTGCTATATAAACTAGTCAAATTGTTGGTCTTTTATCATGTAAAGTACCTGAATAATTTTTGCAGACTGAAGCAGAGGAGCTAGATGGAGGAACGTCGTCACGGCAACATAATGCTGGCACACCACTGCCTGTTTCATCTGAGTATGTGTTTGTTACTATCTGTTGTTTATTTTGGAAAAAAAATAAACTTTAAATTGAGCAGGAAGGAGTGCTGCTCAGTGAAGAGTTCACATGACTCTCCATAACTGACAGCACTCAGAGCATCAGCCTGTGTGCCCAATGTCTTATCGAACATCTTACTGAAGTAAAATTGGTCCTGTTTATGGCTCTTCGGCTCTTTTTGCTATAGCAGCCACAGAAATGCAATCAATTTTGATATTTGCTGGTAGGAAGTAGCATTTGAATTGCAGTGTATTTCTCAGAAATCACAAAGTACATTTCAGGACCCGGTTTTACAAATGACCAAGTTACTTTGAGTGATAAAACTTAACTTCAAAAAAATATGTTTATATTGGAAACCACTATAGGATAATTAGTTCATCATATTTGGACAGTGTTAGTTGAAATACCAAATTTTAGTCATTTATGTATACCCGGGGGATAAAGTTGAAGATGAATACACCTGAAGCTTGTAATAACTTCTATATTTTGTATGTTTTCTGAACAGGAAAGATATGATTCGCCAAATGATGATTAAAATATTTCGCTGCATTGAGCCAGAACTGAACAACCTGATTGCATTAGGAGACAAAATCGATAGCTTTAACTCCCTTTACATGCTAGTCAAAATGAGTCATCATGTGTGGACTGCACAAAATGTGGACCCTGCTTCTTTTCTAAGTACTACATTGGGAAATGTTTTGGTGACTGTCAAAAGGAACTTTGATAAATGTATTGTAAGTTCGTTTTTTTTGTTTTGTTTTTGTTTGTTTTTTAATAACTTAGAATTCTAATTGTTGCAAAAAAAATGTATTTAAACCAAGAGATTTCCAGCTTTCCACTGTGGGATCTACTGCCCAAAGCCTTGAAGCAGAGTGTTGGCTACAATTTACATGAACAGAGCTAGTTGGATGGTGCTGTGCCATCTAGTTTCCCATCTACACTGTGAATCTTGGCAAGTTCTGGAGTAGGTGGCATAGAGGCAGCAGCTGCATAAGAGATCCACTAAGTAACTGAAATTTCAGTTGACTATTAATGACCATAGATTTAATGAAACAATTGAAACTATCACTTGAATTTATTGTTTTGCTTCTTTTAATATACTCCAATAAGATAATTAATAACTGGATTATTTTAATTGCTTACTTAAATTAGTTTATTAGTTTAATAGCTTTAATTAATAATCATATTGCTTTATTTTAAGAATAAATTGTTCTTATGTTAACTTTTGGCAATCACCATTTTCCTCCTTCTAATAGGGAACAAAGATCATTAACTTTTTTTTTTCCTGTTAGGTTTTGGTAAGCTTGTAGGTATGAACTGGACTGGGCCAGGTTCTAAAAAAAAAGTTTCATTTTATTAATATATTTAGTATATAAAAGTGGATATTTATTATCTGAATTTTTCTACTATGTAACCTCTAAGTTAAATCCAGCTTTTGAATAGCCATAGAAGAATGGGAGAATAATAAAAATATTAAGGGCAGTTAAAATCCATATTCTTTTTTATACTTTCTAAAAATATTTATTGAGATTCTAAAAGTTTAAAAACAGTCTGTGTCCACTGTAGAAACTTAAATGTCACCTCAACAGTCTTGTTAATCCTCCTTCCCTACCAAGTGATTTCACTTGGCATTTGAAGTATTATGAAATTTAACCATTTAAGGCTTGTCCTCTTCCCTACCCTGCCTTCTCCAGAGGTGATGATAAACCTGGAAGATCTGATTGCAAGCTGATAGCCAAAAGGAAAAGGAAGAACTACCAAAGGCTAAGATAATGAGTCCCATTTAACATAACTGGAACACTGAATCATGAGGACACTATATATTTACAGAATATGAAGGTTCTGTTGCTTTTACCAGGAAAATATAACTTTATGTAATACCTCTCAACCCAATAGAACATAGTTGTTGAAAGCGTAAGATGTAGTATCAGGTAGATGTAGACATGGGTTCAAAAGAAGTGCTTAGCACATTGCCTGGCACAGAATAAGAGCTTACTAATGGATCACTTGTAATGGTGGTGGTGATAATAGTACTAGTAATTAATAATAGTTTATTAAAGAATGTTCATGTTACTCTCAAGAGTGGGAAGTGAAGAAATTAAGCAAAATTAACCTAGACAAATGTATAAACTCATTTTCTCCTAAATTGCGTGTATTTCTAAAGGATATACCTCTTATCACCAAAGGGAAAAGGATGGTTCCTTCTGCTGACTGTCATCACTCTCTGTGTCTTATTTTAACTCACATCTTCTCAGTGTCTGGTTGATTGTGTTTGCTCAGTGTTACATGTTTTGGTACATGGGACAAGATCAGAACCTAGGGCATAATGAATGGGTAATGAATGGGTCTTTGTGTATTAAGACAGAAACATGAATGTCAGATGACTGCAGAAGGTGGAATAGATAGCACCTGAGTTTGGCACTTTCATCTGGTGGCCAAGCCCAAACTATTCTTCAAGGAACAGTGCTAAAAATGTTAGCCTAGCAAGAACCAGAGATAAAATTAGAAAGTAACTGACACATCAAGTACTACCAAGCTGGACTCTGCAATCCGGTACATTTCTTAGCTGCATTTAGTTTGCTTTTCAGGATTCCTCACACTATAGTGACATGGATTTGCACTCTTAAACCTTTGAAAATGATAAGATTTGGCTGTCTCATCATTGTTTATTCTTGCCTTCTTTGTCATAGATTAATTAACCATATAAGCACAGGTTTATTTCTGGGCTCTCTGTTCTGTTCCATAAACCTATGTATCTGTTTCTGTGCCAGTGCCATACTGTTTTGATGACTGTAGTTTTGTAGTATAGTTTGAAACCAAGGAGCATAATACCTCTGGCTTTGTTCTTCTTTCTCCAGATTGCTTTGACTATTATGGTCTTTTGTGTTTCCATACCAGTTTTAGAATTATTTGTCCTAGTTCTGTGAAAAATGCCATTGGTATTTTGATAGGGATTGCATCGACTCTCTTGATTGCCTTGGGAAGTATGGTCATTTTAACAATATTAATTCTTCCAGTCGTTGAGCAGGGTTTATCTTTCCATTTGTGTTGTCTTCAGTTTTTTTCACCAGTGTCTTACAGTTTTCAGAGTACAAGTCTTTCACCTCCATAGTTAGATTTATTCGTAGGTATTTTATTCTTTTTGTTACAACTGTAAATGGGATTGTTTTCTTAATTTCTCTTTCTGATGGTTCCTTATTAATATACAGAAACAAGATTTCTTTGTTATCTGCAATCTTGCTGAATTCATTTATTAGTTCTAATAGTTTTTTGGTGGCATCTTTAGGATTTTCTATGTATACTATCATGTCATCTGCAAATAGTGAGAGTTTTACATCTTCCTTTCCAATTTAGATTCCTTTTATTTCTTTTACTTACCTGATTGCTGTGACTGGGACTTGCAATAACATATTGAATAAAAGAACAATTACTTTTCTAATCCACATGTCATATGGTTTTCAGGTTTTACCCCCAAAACCTCAACACAGTGAAATTTTAGGTAAGAGTTGAAAATGATCCAACACTACTTGGCAATGTAATTCTTACTGTGAATAGATCTAGATAACCTGAGAAGTACACAGAACCGTAATTGAACCCAGGGATCATTTTGAACCCAAGTGTCTAGATTCTGTCTATATGAAACATCCCTTTTGCACTTTGTCACCATCATACAGAAGCACTTTGCTTACAAATTTAGAATAAGTAACTAATAGATACATGGAAAATTATATAATGCAAATCCATGGTAGAAATGCCTGTTCTCCTTCTCTGTCCTCATACCCCAAAAATACAGAACTTCTCTATCCAAACAAGTTTTAGGCTGCTATGATTTGGAAATAAGCTATGGTTCTCAAACTTGACCGCATAGCCACCAACCAGAAATAATCTTGAGAAATCCCGTGTGTGTTCCGATATCTGCTCTGTCCCAGAATGGGCAATCACTGTACACTTATCTTTCGTAAATGATAAAAATGTTTATTGGTTGTTTTTACTTTAAACAAAGACCTGAGGTTCACAAGCTTTGATTGCATCTTGTTTTAAATAATTTGTATATTTTTTTGACTTTATTTTCTTATGTAAAATATATGTACTTTTTAATCTGTAGAAATAGTTTTTCTTAGTTATCCGTATTGTATTCATCTTTATTTAGTAAACATTCAAAATGTTCTAGGTATTAAATTATGTCCTGTCTCTATGATGTATGCATTTGCTTTAAATTATATGCTGTTTCTAAGTTGCTTGGCTATTTTTCTCCCTTGCGTTCTGCCTATCTTTAGAGTAACCAAATAAGGCAAATGGAGGAAGTAAAGATCTCAAAGAAGAGTAAAGTAGGAATTCTCCCATTTGTTGCTGAATTTGAAGAGTTTGCTGGACTTGCAGAATCAATCTTTAAAAATGCTGAGCGTCGTGGAGATCTAGATAAAGCATATACTAAACTTATCAGAGGAGTGTTTGTTAATGGTAAGCTTTTGTTACATTCTAAAGAATTTTTTGGTTGGTTTTCATTATTTCTGGTATGTTAGAATTTGGGGACAGATATGTTCATTATTTTCCATGTTCTATAGTCTTTTTTAAGTTTTCTGAAATTAAAGATTTCTTAAATTTGAAAAATAAGCAATACATAAAACCCATTTGTATTCACCAGGAACCACTTATATTTTAGGGTTCATATGTGCTTATCACTATGCAAAATTGAAATTCATTGTTTAAACACAAAAAATGATCTCCCGGATTACATTGCTTTTTAGCAAGAGTCTTCCAGAGATGATCAGCAGTGATGTCTGTGTAACCTTAAACAAATCAATTCACTTCTTTAGGCCTGTTTTCATATGTGTCACATAAGGTAGATTAATGCTAAAATACTATAATTCACCGTCTTCCTATGTCAGATCACACAATTAAGTTACAGAAACAGTGTGGATGTGTTGTTTAATTTGAAATAAATGATCTGATTGCATCTATTCAGGAATTTTTAAAGCTAAAACATTGACAGGAAGTGGAATGATATCACCAGTTATAGATAACATATTTTCAGTGGAAACAGGTTTAGGGGAAAGATAGATAAATTATATGATTGAATGTTTGTATGGTTGATAGTTCTTTTAAAATTCAAAGTAGCTTTGCTTTTTCTAATTGTAAAGTAATATATGCTCATTACATACCCCCAAAAATCAGCAAACTGATTTTAAAAATCAAGAAGAAAATAAGGATAATTTGTAATCTAATCATGAAAAGATAACATTTAATTTTTTCCCTGCTAAACTTTTGAGTATATCTCTCTCACTGGTGTATATGTACATATTGTGTGTGTGTGTGTGTTCTCTAATTTTAAAAGTTTTATCATACCTTACACACTGTTTTGGAACCTACTAGACTCTGTACTTCTAGTGTCTTTCCTTATCTATTAATATAGATAACCATAATCATTTTTAATGATCGCATAGTATTCCATGTATCATTATTTATTTACCAGATCTTTTGTTAATAGGCATTTAGTTTGTTTCCAGTTTCCTCCATATATTTTTGTACACTTGTCCAATAATTTCCTTAGGATCAATTATTAGAAATGGAATTACTGGGTCAAAAATTTTGGGTCTGTGTTGAGGCTTTTGCCAAATAGCCACACAGAAAGATTATACCAGTTTAGTGCTTTGAGCATTTGGTGAAAGTTTCTGTCACATCTGCATCAAAGCCCAATATTACTAGGTATTATCAATCTTTTTATTCTTTGTAAACCTGAAAGACTATAAATCAGTTTTGTTTATGATATGTTTTACTGTGCAAGAGCTTTCAAATTTTATTTGAAATATTTATTCATCATATTTATTTGTCTTTCTCTTTATGATCCTAAGTTTTGTGCCATTCTTAGAAAGTTCGTACTATCACAAAATTATTTCTTTAATTTACTTTATTTTTCTTAGTACTTACGATTATATTCATTTATTTACTTGCTTTTAACATTTTAAGTACTTGAGCAATTTAGAATTTGTTTGTCTGAAAGATGTGAAATAAGAATCCAAATTTAGTGTATTCAAAAGGACCAGCTAGTTGTCCTAAACATTTTGAATAATTCATCATTTCCCCACTGATTTGAAAAGCCACCTTTATTCTATACTAAGTTTCCATATATATATATATATATATATATATATTTGGGACTGTTTTAGAATGATTTTTTATTAGGTTTAGGTAGATGTGAAAATCCTTCAATACAATATATTTTATTCTATTAAGTCCAGAAATGTGCTTACTTCTTAAACTTACAAATGAAAAAAATCCTGTAAATTTTTCCTAGCTAAATATGGTTATACTTATATCAGGATGTTACTATGTTTTTTCTGTTTTCATTTTAGTGGAGAAAGTAGCTAATGAAAGCCAGAAGACGCCCAGGGATGTAGTCATGATGGAAAACTTCCACCATATTTTTGCAACACTTTCTCGTTTGAAAATCTCATGTCTAGAAGCTGAAAAAAAAGAAGCCAAACAAAAATACACAGATCACCTTCAGTCTTATGTCATTTACTCTTTAGGACAACCTCTTGAAAAACTAAATGTAAGTATATTTTCATTCAGTATATATTTCCTGGTTTTGAACCTGTGTACATATGAATAACACAACAGACATTTGTTTTAAATTTGCTCATATATTGATGCAGGAGGATAAGGAAGGAGAGACTCAGATACTTAAGCTGCCAGTGTGCCCAGACACTGCTAGATGTTTTATATACATTATTTCTTTTAATTCCTATGAACAGTGATGTGGAGTAAGATGGTATTATCCCCATTTTACAAACGAAGAAACTGAAAGTAAATGAAAAGTTATAATAACTGGAAAGTAGCAAAGCTGGGGGGTGAACCGTAGATTTAGGCTTTTCCATTATACCAGACTTTTATTTCTTACCTCATAAATGGCTAACCTTTATCCCTAGTTCAGATGAAGATTTTGAAAACTTTATCAAGATAAAAGGAAAACAAAAAATTGTTTGGTTCGTTGCCTTTTCTTTTCGCTTCTTTTCTTGACTTCTCATTCCCCAGAGCAAGTCTGATCATTAAAAGTGAGAAATGAGGGACTTCCCTGGTGGTCCAGTGGTAAAGAATCCGCCTTCCAATGCAGGGGTCACGGGATCGGGGAACTAAGATCCCACATGCCACGGGGCAACTGAGCCCGCGTGCCACAATTACTGAGCTCGTGCACCTCAACTAGAGAGCCCGAGTGCCGCAAATTACAAGAGCCCACGTGCTCTGGAGCCTGTGCGCCACAACAAAAGAGCCCGCATATCACAACTAAGACCCAACACAGCCAAAAAATAATAAACAAAATAAATATTTTTAAAAAGTGAGAAATGATAGTTTTAGAGAATTGTGCAACATAGTAGAAGCTTAAATGAACCCTTCTAACTAACTTTGTCCACAGTATGATTAGTCATTTTCTATAAGTTTTTAACTTGAAATGAGTCAAATAAAAATTATGTATCTGTTGTCAATAATTCAAATAATTGTTTTGATTAAAAGACATTTAATCAGATGCAGAACCAATTCTTTCTAAAATTTAAGAACTGACAGATATTCCTTTAGGGTAGAAGGTTGGTCTCAGACCTAAAGCCTGCATGATACTTACCTGCAACATAGAGGCACTTCCTTTGAAATCAAATTTAAAGCAGAAACATTGATAGACCCCTTATTATTTAACATCGTTATGGAAGATTTAGCCAATGCAATAAGACCGAAACATAAAGATATACAAAGGAGAGTCAAGGTTATAATTACCTGTATATAATATGTTGGAATTATTTTATCTGGTAAAGTAATAGGATTCAAGATACATATATCAAAAAATAGTTTATTTCCTATATGTTATAATAACCAATTAAAAGTCTCTGTAGAAACAAAATTTTAAAATTACCAGGGATAGACTTGTCCAAAAATTACTGTCAAAAAATTAATAATTTATAAGAATAAATAAATAATAATTGCTAAGAAAATTTTAGAGAAAAGTAATGACTGGATTTGGCTTGTCGGTATTAAGTCATATTGTGCTCAAATAAAGACTTGCCAGTCAATATGCATATTAAAAGACCAATTATAATTAAAAGACAACCTGAGGAGAATATTTGTAACACCATGTCAGTATATTTAATCTAAAAGATCTTTTTAAAATCAATGAGGAAAGCACCAAGACCTCAACATATAAATGGGCAAGGGTTCTGAATGTACCACTAAGCATCTGAAAAGCAGGTTAACTTCATTTATAGCCAAAGAATTGTGAAATAAAATGACAAACTTTTTTCACTTTTTAAAGTGGCAAAGATTTGTTTTTTAATTGTGCTAATGCTGATGATAGTATGGTAAGGTAAAAGTCTCATATACTGTTGACAGAAATATAAACCGATTGATATATAAATATAAACTTTTCTGGGAAGCAATTTGTGTATGTATATGAAGAGTCTTCAGAATGCTTAACAATTATACTCCTCAACTGAGGAATTATAGTCTAGAAATTTATGCTGGGTAGTAATCAGTAATGTGGGTGAATACTTACGTATAAAAGTTATTTGTGACAACTGTATTTATAAGAGATTTTTTTTTTTTTTTTGATGAGTAGATTTTGCCAACTCCAAGAAAAAAGAGTGAAAAATATTAAATACCCAATACTGGAGGAATGAATAAACAAATTATAGTTCAGTCATTGGATGGAACATAATGCAGCCATTAAAATGTATACTTTGGGAAAACATATAAAATATTAAGTGGAAAAGCAGCGTGCAAAATTATAATCTCATTTATGTACTCACATCAAAAGACTAGCAGGAAATCTAAAATGTTGATAGTGGTTATCTCAGAGTGGCATGATAATAGCTGATTATTATTTTATCCTTTATATTTTCACACACTGATTTTTACATAATGAATATATACTATTTTATAATCAGATTTTTTTTTAATTTAAGTGGTAATGAAAGCAGTTCTTAGCCATTATTTCTTTTCATTTCCTCGAAGCATTTCTTTGAAGGCGTTGAAGCTCGGGTAGCACAGGGTATAAGAGAAGAGGAAGTAAGCTATCAACTTGCATTTAACAAACAAGAACTCCGAAAGGTTATTAAAGAGTATCCTGGAAAGGAAGTAAAAAAAGGTCTAGATAACCTCTACAAGAAGGTTGACAAACATTTATGTGAAGAGGAGAACTTACTTCAGGTATGCTTTAGTTTTTTGAACCATCCTAGATTGCACATCCTTACATATGTCGCTTTTCTCCAAAATATTCCTCTAGAAATACTATGCATTTTCTAATTTTAGGAAATTAGAAAAGGAGGAAAGTTCCACAAGGTACAGACCAGATTAATGAATTGTGAGGGGAAGAAAGGAATAATATTTATATAAGTTTATATGACTATTCCTGTTTATTTTGTATTTCTTTCTTATTGTTTTGAGGCATTAAGTTGTTTTTCTTTTGTTTGGGGATGGGTTTTTTCGTTGCTTTTTTGTTTTGTTTTAGTTTTGAGGGTGGCAAGGAAATGGAATGGTGTATAGTACAGTGGAGTGATTCTGAGCATAGGGGTTGGAGCTGGAAATGGTTTCATAATCTGGCTTCAGATAAAGCTTCATGGTTTGGGGCAAATTACTTCACCTCTCTGAGCCTCAATTTCCTTATTTGAAAAGTAGAAATAATACCTCTCCTGTATACTGGCCACTACTATTACTGTCATTGCCATTTTATACATGAGAAAATCAAAGCTAAGAGAGGTGGAGTAATATGACCATGATCCTATAGCTAATGAATGGTAGAGTCAGATTTAAACTGCCAACTGAGCCATCATTCTTTATAAGTCGTACTAAAAGGCCCAGAGATGAGTGAGAATAATTCTGATTTTAACACCATGGAAGGCTTCATGAAGGAAAGCATTTGCGTTAGCCTCTGAAAGTCAGATACTAACTTAACAGATAAAGTAGGAGAAGTGGCCTTCCAGGTGGATGAAATACCATGAGCTAAAAGATGAGAAGCAAAAAAGTGTAAGTAGAACTGTTTAGTAAATCATCTTAAGTTGTCTATTAGGAATTTAGGGTTTATGAGATTTAGGGTTTATAAGGAAAAATCCCCTCAACTGGCAGATAGGGATGATTTCATAGTACCCACCCTCACCAGGTTGTCATGAGACTTAAAAAGGATAATGTATACATAAAGCACTTTGTACTGTGCTGATATGAAATAAGTCAATAAATATAACCTATTAATATTAGCTCATATGTCAATGTGTGTATCAGATTCTATCTTGATAGTTGTCTGCATCGTGATTTCCACTTCCAGATTATAAATTCCTTTGATGGCAGATGATTGGTCTGACTCATCTTGGTGTCCTCCATGGCATCGAGCAGTGTTTTGCATCATCAATTTTAGATAAAGAAATTGTTAAACTTTCATATGAAATGAAATTCAGGCATTCAGTGTTGCATTTCATTGAATCATTAGTCTTAGTTTCATACATAGTTGTGCATATCCACATCGGTGTTGGATATTGGAGTAAATATAATAACAGCTAGATGTAATGAGTGCTTACTGTGTCACACTGTTCTGAGCACTTTACATGTATCCACTCATTTAACCTCACCTGAAGCTTGTGAGGAAGGTATTATTATCATTACCCCAGTTTACAGATAAGGACCTTGAGGCACAGAGCAATGATGTAATGTACTCAAGGTCACAAAGCTTATAAGTGGAAGGAACCAGTTTCTATCTCCAGAATGTATGTTTTTAACTATTATTCTAAATCCTTAGAATATATCCTGACATTATTTCTACATACTTGACTGTATTATTTCCATTCATAGTTTAACGACTCTTATTTTCATTTTTATTATAGGTGGTGTGGCACTCCATGCAGGATGAATTTATACGCCAGTACAAGCATTTTGAAGGTTTGATAGCTCGCTGTTATCCTGGATCTGGTGTTACAATGGAATTCACTATTCAGGACATTCTGGACTATTGCTCCAGCATTGCGCAGTCCCACTAAACCTTGCAAAAGAAGAAAAGATAAATGAAAAAAGCACTCTGAGTACACCAGACACTATTCAAAAACATCAAGCAACCGTTTTGAGAACCAGACTTAAAATTTTATGTATGAATGTCAGATAAATGGGTAATACCATACCACAAATATTCAAATGCGAAAGTACCAACCTATGTGGCAGTTTCATTTGCCCAATAGGTTGTGTACTAAAAGCATTTATCTCGGGCTTCCCTGGTGGTGCAATGGTTAAGAATCTGCCTGCCAATGCAGGAGACATGGATTCAAGCCCTGGTCCAGGAAGATCCCACATGCCGTGGAGCAACTAAGCACGTTTCCCACAACTGCTGAAGTCTGCACACCCTAGAGCCCATGCTCTGCAACAAGAGAAGCCACTTCAATGAGAAGCCTGCGCACCACAACGAAGAGTAGCCCCTGCTCGCTGCAACTAGAGAAAGCCCACATGCAGCAACGAAGACCCAGCGCAGCCAAAAATAAATAATTAAAGCATTTATCTCATCATAAATGCCTTTATCATTTTTCCAGACTGTCCAGGAAATTTTCCTGTATTGCCTCGCTTCTTATATTTAAGAGTGGTTATCCTGGACTTCCCTGGTGGCGCAGTTGTTGAGAGTACACCTGCTGATGCAGGGGACGCGGGTTCGTGCCCCGGTCCTGGAAGTTCCCACATGCCGCAGAGCGGCTGGGCCCGTGAGCCATGGCCGCTGAGCCTGCGCGTCCAGAGCCTGTGCTCCGCAACGGGAGAGGCCACAACGGTGAGAGGCCCGCATACCGCCAAAAAAAAAAAAAAGAGTGGTTATCCTATGTGTAATGCATTGGGAGTTCTTCAGCTTTCACTAATTCAGTATTGCTTACAAATGTTACTACTAAAATTTTGTATAGAACTTTTTCCCTCTAACTAATGTATATATGGATAGGGATCTTGTGATGATCAGTTGTAAACTTGGAATTTGAGGATTATGTGACTCTGTGTAGCAGTGAATCTAAAATAAAGAAGTTTTCAAAAAAATTAAAATTTTGTTGTATTATTCTTAGATCTATCATGCTATCATTTGTATAAAAGCAAGTTCTTATAAAATCAGTATATAAAAATGAATTACATGTCCATTTACCATAAACCACTTAAAAGTATAATAATAAGAAAAATAAAGGCATTTATAATAGCATTAAAAACATTTAGTATTTAGGACTAAGTCTAACGAAACATGTGCTATGGACTGAATTGTGTCCCCTCAAAATTGCTATATGGAGGCCCTAACCATGCCCTGCCGTGTGACTGTATTAGAGATAAGGCCTTTAAGGGGGTGATTGAGGTTAAATGAGGTCATAAGGGTGGACCCTGATCCAGTAGAACTGGTACCCTTATGAGAAGAGACACCAGAGCCCTCTCTCTACAATGTGAGGACACAGCAAGAAGGCAGCCATCTGCAAGGCAGGAAGAGAGAGACCACCAGAACACAGCCATTCTGGCACCCTGATCTCAGATTTCCAGCCTCCAAAACCATGAGAAAATAAATTTCTGTTGTTTAAATCACCTGATCTCTGGTATCTTGTTATGGCAGCCTGAGCTGACTAACACAAGATGAGTATAAGACCTTTATGGAGAAAATTATAAAATTATTAAAAGATATTTTAAAAGTCTTAAATAAGTAGAGGATGATTTCATGTTTCCAGATAAGAACACATAACATGGTAGAAATGAGAGTTATTCCCAAATTTAAAAATTCAGTGCAAACTTCCAGTTTCCAGTCCAGCAAGTAAGAAGCTTGAAAGTCACCTCTCCATCCTAACAATAAGTGAAAAGCTGAAAAAACTTAAAAGCAACTTCTTAGATCTGTAAGAGAAGCAAGGTCACAGGGCAAGCCACTGCCACAGTTGGAGAGATTAATAGGAGAACAGGGAGAATTACAACTTACTGAAACCTCCATAGGAACCAGTGCTAAAGTAGGAAAAAGAACTGTAATTGACAGCTTGCTGGAGATGAGTGTGGATAAGTCAGAGAAAAACTCTGGGGGAACACAGTCTTTGGGGGTAAAACTTTTGTGAGTTTTACCTCCTATAGCTCTACCAAGTTCTCACATTGAATATCGGAGAAAAATTCCCTTGTGCTTCTAGCAAAGGGAGGGAAAAAGGAACCAATTCGAAATATGCCAGAATATTCTACTCTTAACAAAGTCTGCTGTCAGGAGAAATTATTTAACCAGAGCCTAACTGATCTGGGAGAAGGGAAATACCCAAATACAGTTGGCTCAAGCCTTCCACATGGAATGGAAGAGAAATACCCAACTTCAGCCCACTCTAGTCATCCTTTCCCACCTAAAGGGGGAGAGGGCATTGAAAAGCACAGGTAAAGTTCACAGTCAAGAGTACAGGCTCATTAAAAGACTGAGACCTTATCTTAGGGCTATAGAGTGCTTCATCTCCCTCTACACCTCACCACCACATTACTAAGACCTATTTACAACATTTCTTTTTACCCAGTACATCATTATTTGACTACCAAGAAAAAATTATAAGACATACTAAAAGGCAAAAAACAGTTTGAAGAGACAAAACAAGCATTAGAACAGACTCAGATATGGCAGGGATGTTGGAATTATCAGATCAGGAATTCAAAATAACTATGATTAATATGCTAAGGGGTCTAATGGATAAAGTAGAAAACATGCAAGAACAGAAGTGAAGAAGGCCTTTGATAGGCTTACTGGCAGACTGGACACAGCTGAGAAAAGAATCTCTGATCTTAAGGATATCACAATAGATACCTCCAAAATTGAAACACGAAGAGAACAAAGATTTTTTTTAAAAAAACAAACAATGTCCAAGGACTATGGGACAGCTACAAAGGGTATAATGTGCTTGTAATGGGAATGCCAGGAGGACAAGAAATACAGAAAGGAACAGAAGAAATCTTTGAAACAATCATGACTGAGAATTAACCCCAAATCAATGTTTGCCACCAAATCACAGATCCAGGAAGCTCAGAGAACTACAAGCAGGGTGAATGCCAGAAAAACTATACCTATGCATATCATTTTCAAGCTACAGAAAAATGAAAGATAAAGATTAAAAAAAACTCCTGAAAGAAGCCAGAGGGAGAAAAACATCTTAGCTATAGAGGAACAAAGATAATTACATCCCACTTCTCAGAAACCATGCAAGCAAGAAGAAAGTGGAGTGCAATATTTAAAGTGTTGAGAAAAAAACCAACCTAGAATTCTGTAACCTGTGAAATTATTCTTCAAAAGTGAAGGAGAGGGCTTCCCTGGTGGTGCAGTGGTTGAGAGTCCACCTGCCGATGCAGGGGACACGGGTTCGTGCCCCGGTCCGGGAAGATCCCACATGCTGCAGAGCGGCTAGGCCAGTGAGCCATGGCCACTGAGCCTGAGCATCCGGAGCCTGTGCTCCGCAGCGGAAGAGGCCACAACAGTGAGAGGCCCGTGTACCGCAAAAAAAAAAAAAAAAAAAAAAAAGTGAAGGAGAGAGAAAGACTTCCTCAGATAAACAAAAATTGAGGGGATTTGCTGCCAGTAGAACTGCCTTGCAAGAAATGTTAAAAGAACTTTAGAGGGAAAATGACACAGTTCAGAAACTCAGATCTGCATGAAGAAAGGAAGAACATCAGACAAGGAATAAGTGAAGGGAAAATTAAAACTTATTTTTCGTATTCTTAATTGATCTAACAGATAACAGTTTGTTCAAAATAACAATAGCAACAATGTATTCAATTATTTATGCATATATAAATATGCTTATGTATAAGTGAAATGAATCATAGCAGTGCTAAAAAAGGATGAGAGGGAGGAATTAGGATTATTTTATTACTATAAGCTACTCTTACTATCCATGATACATTGTAGGGTTATTTGAAAGACTTGGATTAGTTGTAAATGTATATTGCAAACTCTAGGGCAAACAATAAAAAAGTTTTAAAAGAAGTATAACTGATATGCTAAGAAAGGAGAGAAAATGGAATCATATAAAGTGCACAGTTAAAACTACAAAAGACAGAAAAAGAAAGAATGACAAAGCTAGGAACAAAGAACAAGGGCAACAAATAGAAAACAGTAACATATATGGGTAGCTATTAATCCAACTATATCAAAAATCATTTTGAATATCAATGGTCTAAATGCACCAATTGAAAGACAGAGATTGTCAGAGTGGATCAAAAAACAAGACCCAACCATATGTTTTCAAGAAATCTACTTTAAATATAAAGACATATACAGAATAAAAGCAAATGGATGGGAAAAAATATACCATGCTAACACTAATCAAAAGAAAGCAGGAGTAGATATATTAATTTCCGACAGAGCAGACTGCAGAGTAAGGAAAGTTATCAGGGATAAAGAAGGGCATTACATTAAGATAAAGAGGCTAATTCTCCAGCAAGACCTAACAATCCTTAATGTGTATATGCCTAACAACAGAGCATTGAAATATGTGAGGCGAATACTAATAGAATTGCAAGGAGAAATAAACGAATCCACTATTATAGTTGGAGATTTCAGTATACCTTTATCAGAAATGGACAGATCCAACAGACAGAAAATCAGTAAGGACATAACTGAACTCAACAGTACCATCAATCAAATGGAGATAATGGACATCAATAGACTACTTCATCCACAACAGCAGAGTACACATTCTTCTCCTGATCATATGGAACATTCACCAGGATAGACCACATTCTGGACCATAAAAAATGGTTCAGAATAAATTTGAAAGAATATAAATTATCTAATGTCTGCTTTCAGATCACAGTGGAATTAAACTAGAAACCAAAAACAGAAAGATAACGGGAAAATCCCAAAATATTTGGAGATTAAAGACTCAATGCAGTTCCAGTCAAAGTCACAACTGTTTTGGTTCGGTTGGTTTTCGTAGGACCCAACAAGCTGTTTCTAAAATGTATACAGCAAAACAAAAGGCTAATAGCCAAGACACTCCTGAAGAATGAGGTAGAAGGAATTTCCTTATCAAGAATTATAATTAAAGCAGCATTGTATTGGTGCAAAGATAAATAAATAAATAAACAAGTGGAACAAAACCAGGAGTCCAGAAACAGACCCATACAAATAGAGACCCTTGCTTTATTACAGATGTGGCATGGCAAATCAATGGGGGAAAGATAGGCTTGGAATAAATAGTGCTGGAACAGGTTGTCCATAAGAGAAAAGGTAAAAATCGAGCCCTTATCTCACACCATGTACAAAATGAACTCCACGTGGATTGGATTCCTAATTGTGAAATGTAAAACTATAGAACTTAAGAGAGTATCGTTTTACCTCAGGAATGGG